CCCGACAAACACCAAATCGAACTGATTCAATCGATGTTTTAAAATCAAACATTTAACCATTAGCTCTTCTCCTTGGCGAGTCTCGAATTTAAATAAATTCGATGAGGAAATGAGAGAATGGAACGTATTCTCCGATCTCTTATACGTCGTCCGTGCTTTTATAAAAATCGAATAATCGTTTGTGCGCCTTTATAAATGGAAGTACATACGGAGCGAGTCGATAAGAATTGCTGTCTGAAATGTAGCTCATTGGCTATTCGGTTTATTAAAAGAGTTGTTTCATATGGTAATTCTCGTCGAGTATACGCAGCAAGAGAAACGGTCGAATAATTGTGGAAAGTAGTGAAATCGCGAGAGATCGAAGATTCGGGAAACGGCGTAGGAGTCGCGGCAGACGGCGTAGGGTGGGTGGGTTTCTTAGTTCGACTTGTGTCGAACGAAACTAGCGGCCAATGGCGTAACGCAGCTGAGCCATTATTGGAAACTCGTTACATGCACGGTGCCCCGCGCCGTTACAAAGGCGCGCCACCCTCTCCCAACCCCCAGCGACCCTCCGTGTCGCCGCGCCGCCCCCGCGGCCTCTGTTACACGAGTACTCGGCAAAAGCGACCACGTCGCTGTTAGATCGCACCCTCGACCCCCTCCCCCACCTTCTCTTATTTCGTTTCGTAAAACAAAATTGTTCAAGAACGAAAACGAAATCCTACTCGAGTCAAATCTGCCTATTTTCGACCCTTTTCTTGTGACTGGAATTTCTAAAATGGAAACACGTTTCTCAAGCAGAGGCGAAGTTATCTTTAAAAATTGAAACAGCGTCAGAACAACGAGTTTTTATTCACCAATTTTCTATTAATTCTTTATCAGCAATCCTCGCGGTAAAAAAAAGTTGATCGAACGGTCTTGGACACCGAGTAGAGAATCCGCGTATCAGAGATAAATGTCGCAATAATATTTCACAGGTACCGCGGTTACGAGAATTGGAACCAACCCGTCGTAGAGGAGATTGGTGTCGTTGAAACTCGCTTAAACCCTTTACCGAACGTCGCGTCGTCGAGGCAATCCATGAGCCACGGTTTAAGATTGATTCGAAGCGTTTCCACCGCATTTATTTAGTGGGCCGCCGGGAAAATCGCGTGAAAAATCACCGATATCTTTGGGAGGATGTTTGTTCCTCGTTGTAATATATGACCGTACAATCTACAGCTCTGATTCTATAGTAGTATATGCATTTGGCTTAGGATACATTGAAAATCTAAACTGTTTATTTAATACGATCACCATTATGTTTCACTTACTGCTTATAAAAATTAGGATACTGAGTGGGTAAGGTGAGCCTTGTAATACTTTTAGCGCTTTGTTAAAACCAGCCCTCTGCTAGAAGACCCACCCTTATCGGTCATCGGATATCAATGAAACACGAAGACGCTGTAAAGGCATTAACGAGTTTCGAGACACGTTTTAAAGTGCAAAGACACGGCGTCTCGCGTCCCCTTTTCGGGGATACCCGTCCCCGTACACGAAAAGTACCGAACCCTCTTCGATACCGAAACGAACAACGGGTTCATTATCGAAAAATTGATCTGATTAGTCGGCCGAAACTTCTTCGCCGGACATCCCTCTCGATTCCCACGTCGCGGCCACCTCGCGAATTAAGGGCTGCTTAAACTCTTCCGGCGCCCCCTTCCCCGCGCTCTGTCCGAAGTTTCCCCTTCGAAACACGGCCGCGTTAATTGGCGTTCGCGCGGTTTAAAAGACTCTCACGCGACGACACCGATGGAATTCTCGGGAACTTTGGAGAAGTTGGTTCCCGGCGTTTAGAAAGGATCAATCCTTATGGATGACGTTTTTGAATTAAAAAAAAAAAGAGTGCGCTTGTAGAACCTACTCGCAATTAATGATTACAAAAAATAATTGTTGGAGTAAAGTCTTTTTACACATGTTCGATATGTTTTTACGAAGGGGAGAGTTTGGAGAACGCGTGAGAATTCGGCGGGAAAAACACGGTTCGCGTTTATCGGTTGAACAAGGAACGGTTGGAAGGGGAGTGGAAAGAGGGTGAATTTTGCGCGCGGCGCGGCGTGCGCTTGACACACGGGCTTCGACGATATCTCGAGGCGAGCTTGCATCGAGGAACAACCGCGTGCTGCGATAGCAATTAATTTCATTAGCAAGCAAATTAGTCGAAGCGAATACTTTCGCGGACTGACGTTATCGTCGAAAGCGTGACAGCCGGTTGATAACACGTGAGTCTGACCAAATTTCTTTCCGCGTTCTGTCAACGAACAATTTTTTCCACAGAGACCGATAAGCGTAGGAAAATTGTATTTGTAATTGAACTCGAAGTTGATAAGCGACGGCACGAAACGATGGAGGATCGATTTTACGCACATTTCATTTTAGTAATTAGTTTTTTGAAAATGACGTATGGAACGCGTTCGCACTTTGCTTGCTCCCGAATGTCTGACAGATACCTTGGGAAAACGAACAAAGAAAATTGTCTACCTTCGAAACCCGAATCGACCGAAGTACTCAGCCACAACTTCCCTTAAAAGAGAAAAATAAGGACAGTGTGACGAATAAAAGAAAAGAACCCTAGGACCCGGATGATGTTCCGCTCCTTCGACGTAAATAAAAAAGAAAGTTGACGACCACCGACAGGGGTTTCGAAAAAGAAAAAAAATAGCAAATAAACCGAAAGGAGAATAACGGGGTAGGGGAGCGGATCGATCGACGGACTAAGTCGGACGAGAAACGTGAAAACGTCGAAGTAGCGAGAGACGAGGTATAGGTAATCTCGGTACTCCTCGGCCGTCTCATTCAAATCCTACGCTAAATTTCAATCTGACGTGTACAAAAGTCGAACCCTTCCGGTATCCACCCCCCCCCCCTCTCGCGGCCCCCACGTCCCCTTTCCCGTGACATAGCAGCGACTCGTGCTCGAGGCAACGGTCCATTTCTGCGATCCGTCCGCCACCCCCGCGCCCGAAGCTCATCCTTTCGACGTCCACACGTGTGTGCACCAGTCCATTTGAATCTACCCACTCGAACGCGCGCTTGTACACCGTCCAGCAAAAGTTTCCGAGTGTTGGAGTCGATGACGTTCGTGAGAAAACAAATTTTTGCATTCAGAGAATGAATTCAATTACTGATCAAGTTTTTCTGGTTTTATTGTTCGTACGAGAGGCACGAATTCGTGTAAACGTTCTATATCCGACGTGCAACGTAAATTTTGCACGGCAGTGTACGCGTGCCGGAGAACCACCCCCGCAAGTCCTTTTAAACCGGCCACCCCGCCACTCCGTCGAGCGTCCATTTTCCTCGATACAGGCTGGCAATCGGCGGTGTATCGGCTCGTGTAACACACGCGCGCATACGTGCACACAATGGTAGCACCTAATTAAACTTCGCCAGAGTACGTTAGACTTTCTCGTCGGTTCGAAATCAAGCTTACTTGCGAGCCGAATCGAAGTCGGTTCCGGTTCTTCCGCGAATTGCGACCGGGGATACCGGATTTTTGAGACCGTATCCGGTAGACTGATTTTATTCCACCCCCGCGCACCCTCTACGCTCCCTTCGTTTTCTATTAAACCGAGAACGTTAGGGAAAAATGAATGTTCGAATACGGGAAGAAAAGTTCCTTTCGCGATCATCCCTATGCTTGCCTACGGGGTTGAATTTGAATTTGCCTGGAATAGCATCCGGTGATTAGATTGGAAAACGAATAGGATGTCCGCATTCGATTGGCATTAAAATTGTATCCTACAATACCAAGGGATGATTTCTGAATCCCTCGCTTCTATAATGAAAAATACCCACGTCGAGCTTCCCGTCTTTCATGTAATACTGGATTAACCGCCAGCGACTAAAATAATATTCTAATTTTTCAGTTCAGTCGCATGTATAAATTAAAAGGCAACGAATAAGACTCGATCACAATTCGTTCGGAATTCGTATTTCTACGCGGTCGCTTACAAAATTCACGAGGCTAATTCGAAGAATACGGATGGTCCGTGGCGAGGGATCAAAATAATACGCGCTGGAGTTTCGCATTATTTAGCACGGACGTTTGTAATTGCTGGCTAGGTCGATAGAAATCGAGGATCTTTCAATTAATTAACTCATATCCTTTCCTCGCTTGAATTTCAGTTTCTGCTTTTATTAAGAATCTCAATTGGTTTCCTATTTATAACACTTGTCATCTGAATTTTCTGACTGTAATCTGTACTTAGAAAACTTATAATCTGTTGAAGTAACGATTGAATTTTTCATTTTTTAAAAAGAAACATTGATCAAAAGCTAATCAGTCTCTAACACCAATGTTTATACATTTAATCTGTATTCTATTTGAGACGTTAATAATCTATTTCACTATCGACACGGCAAAATTATACGCGGTATTTATAATTATTTTCAATGACAAAACGAAAAGTATAGATCGAACGAAAAAATGAATGGAAAAGAATGAATGAACGAATGAGAGAGTGAGTGAGTGAGAACGATATGCCTTGGTTCCCCAAAAATGTTCACCCTCGATTCCACGCGATTCGGGGCGGTGTGTATCAACCCTCAAGGAAACGGTCGATCAACCATTAGCAGGAATCTACGTTTGAAACGGTTGAACGATCGTCTAAAAGGGCACTAAAGTGGCTGGCACTAAGGACGTGATATCTAGCTTCCAAGTATCTTAATAGAACGATTGGGGTATAGAATTTCATTAGAGAAATACTAACTTCCAAAATTAAATTCAATCAAGTGATCTACGGTCTCTTTCAGCTTCTAGGGCAACTATGATAGTATTTAAAAACTCGATTCGTGGACGTGTCTACTACTTTTTCTTTGTGTACGATGCAGCTTGAAAAATGTCACCCTCGACAGAAACTATTAGGTAAAATTTTGCCAGTTTACAGACAAATCGTTTCTATTAGTAAGGATGATCAGTAAGGACGATGAGAAAAGGGTATTAGATAAAGTGATGTATATGTAAGTAATTTTGATATTACCATATGAGTTGTGAAACTGTTGGTGATGAGACTCGAGACCGGTTCCTGGGTGGTGGATATCCAGCATGGCTTCCGGCTCGCCTCCGCTCTCAGAGCAGTTGCTCAGGGCTAAAACCAAACCGATAGACACACACCTTGCGTTTAAACTTCTAATTTCATGGTTCTTTTCGCGCGCGGCGGCGGCGACGACGACCTTTGTCATCCGTCCGTTCCGCGGACCGCGAACTTTTTTCTATACCCTCGCCTTAGTTTAATTTCTCTTTCGAGTTGACTCCCGTTCTCGACGCCTCCCTTTCCCCTTCGTTATTAACAAAAAAAACACTTTCATTCATTTCGTGTCTCGTTAGAAAAATAATCAAATGAGTAACGCTTTTATCATTTTAATTTTTATAACGAAATTACGAAGAAATTATAACAGAATACAGCTTTGAAAGTATATTATTTACTTTTGAACAAAAATATATTTTGAAAAGGGGAAGGCGACACGTCAAGAATCGCTAGATTCGGGTTTCGATTTGCCGATCGCGTGACTTCGTTCTCCGTTTCCTCGTATTGCGAACAAACTGAAGATAAATTCGGCAAACTGAACCAAAACGTGCCGGGGAAGCAATCATAAATCATAAAGCAGGGGTACGTCGCACATATCGCTTAAAACTGATAAACTTATCAATACGAACTAAATATAAATATTGGCTGAGGGTGTCTTCGAAGTGGGAAACTGATATAAAATTAAGCAGTAACGATAATTGTTAATATCTAATTATTACGAAATAACAGTCGTGTGTAGAGGCAAAATATTATCAAGAAGCTTGTTTCAAGAGAGTCAATATCACGGTCAAAAATCTTTTCTTTTTCAAGTAAATAACAAACGTTTGTTAATTAACTCCTCCTTCGAAGACACAATACGGTTGATTACATTTCTAAGAAAAACAATTGATTGAAAACCGGTAAAGTAAACAAGTAGCGAAACAGAATTGAATTGAAGTGGTGAGAGAACAGAAAAATAAAACAGGGGACAGGGGTAAGGGATAAAGAGCGAAAAAACGAATTTCCATTCAAGACACCGACTGGTGGAACCAAGAGTTTTCGTGAGGATAACTGAAAGGAAAAGTAGAAAGGCGAAAGAAACGCGGAACGAAACCATTAGCCGCCGAGAATCTCGTCGATGTTAAACGTGGTGCGTTTCTTTGTCTATCCGTTTGGCTGGCTCTACTTCGAGAATCGTGTTCCGGTTTGTTCGGGACTCGGTCAACCCTGCGAGATATAGATTATCAACGCCTCAAAACGAGACGCCTCGTCTCTACGCCGAATTTTCTATTTTTCATTCTCTGTAAGTACTTATGTGGACTCTCCTCCGAGTCCGTTACGATCTTCCATGTTGTGACTGCCGGTCGGATCTTCGGACGGTGATAAAAGAACAATGATCATTGCTTTCTCTCCCCTTGCGGATTTCCTCTTTCATTTTTCGGCGAAACATTCGCGTTTTTTTACAAGGGACAGTGTCAATTGATGAAAAGTTGAAAAAAAAAACGAGGGGGGGTGGGGGTGAGGGTGGAGTTGAATGCCATGTCAATTCTGACGTTGAATAACACCTGGGTGACAAATCCGTAGAAAGAGTCGCAGGAGGTAATAATTAACCGCGCGTTAACGCGAAGCGAAATGGGAACGAGAAGAGGGTTGAGGGTCGGTGCTGGCTTTCTTCCTGTCTCCCTCCTTCCACCCTTCACGAAGAATCATCCCCGTTGGTTCCCTGGTACCAGCCTGTACATACGCTAGCCCGCGTACACTCCCGTTCATAAACACGTCGCTACGAATTTTTAAACAAAATCCGCACGGAGTGTAAATAAAATTTTTAATAGTTCCCTGAGGCCCCAGAAATGTACGAATTCAATATTGAACTTGAATTAATCACGTTCTTCGTTGTTTGCATTACATTTTTTTTTCTGACAAATTAGAAATTACGATTTTTAAATTGGAACTCGATTATTACTTATACTGTTTTATCACGGAACTATAAACTTCTAAACGGGATTGTACGTAACAGCAGACTGACATGTATGCCTCGTAACAGTAAGCCGGTTCCCACTCTGAGAACACTGTTACGCTACGTCTACGTGCTGGAAAAGAGGGTAGAAAGTACGAGAGAGAGAGAGAGAGAGAGAGACAGACAGACAGAAAGAGAGAGAGAGAGAGAGAGAAAGAAAGAGTAAGGGGGGTTGTTAGAGCCTCCCCGTGTGTCCGTGCTCGTTTCAGTGCGAGAAAGAGGGAGATAGACTTTGTGTAATACGTGCGGTGTACATAGACGTGTACCGCATGCATGACGTGAGGATGAGTCAGCTAGATGGAAGCGGTTTCAGCCAGGAATTCATCACGGAACTTTCCGGAAATATTTTTTATTTCGTGTCCTCCATTCAAGGAAATCGTTGCAACCCTTTCGCCGGGAGTTTGACAAGAAGTCGAGTTCGTTAGCGAGCCTCTTTGAACAAATTCACATGCCATCTTTAGAATCGTTTGCTGACATTTAAAGTACAGAGATTAGCGGCAAGATTTTGTGAAACATCAGGAATTCCGTATAAAATCGTCGATGCGAGTCGATTCAACGTCGTGCATAAAATTTTGAAAGGCTGAAATTGGAAACAACCGGAGCCATTGGCGATTCACAGGAAACGCGACACACAATCATCAAACACCATTTTTCCTTTCGGTTCGGCCTCGCGACGCGAAAGAATTCTTGTTAACGTTTCGCGAACGAGAGGAGGCTCATCGTCGCTCGAAGGAGAGAGGCAGGTTAGCTTATCGTAAAACATACCAGTGTCGCCTTTCGTTTATCAACGACCCGAGCAAAGTTTAATTCGAGTCGCGCTTGCAACGACCGCGACAATGCGTTCCGAGGGAACGCGACGCGACGCGAGAACCAACGAAACAAACGTCGGGCCGCCGCGTGCTTCCACTCTTTCAGTTCGCCATTCAAATTTACCAGCTTTATTACGCATTTTCGCGTTTCCTATTTCTGTTCCATTCCCTTGTCGAATATTGTTAAAGTAAATATATTCTGGTGGTTCTTCCTATTTCGTATTCGCACTTTCGTTCTGTTCCCATGATTTACTAAGTTCCCTAAAGGAAAGTAGGCTATTACACGGAGAACGTTGAGACATGTACGTAGAAGATCCTGTATAGATCTCGATTCCTCGATTGGATAATCCACGAAGATGAAAGAGACAGAGAAACGATGGGGGGTCGACGGTCAGGATTTCACTGGGCACCCCAGCCCAACAACGGGGGTAACAGCTGTTCGAGGAAAGGTGTTCGCCAACGTGACATCTGCACCTTGGTAATTCCCCCCTCCGTTCACTTTTAGCAGTAGAATAGCCTTTTCTATTGACCGAAAACAGACTGGACTCGTGCGCGCGATTAAATGTCGATTTTCTCAGAGCGGGATCGATGTTCGACGCATGGTGATTTCCATCGATCGATCTCGAGCACAGCAACGCACGATAAGATCCTGTATTACAATACTATTGAAAAACGAAAACGAAATACCGCCGAAATCGATCAGAATTGATTGTTGGAAAGTGTGCCGCACTAGACAAACGTTGTACGAGTGTGAGAGTGGAAACGGAATCCAAGAAGCCGGCAGGATGTCCCGTTGGCGGTGGCAATTTAAGACGCGCGCGAATTACTCGCAACCTTTGCGTGGACGCGAAACGGTTCACGCACGATTCGCACACGCGTGAAGCCAGAATTTGTACGGCCTCCTCGTGCGATCGGTGTCGCGTTTCCGCGCGTGCCCCCGCCTCTGCTTCGTTCTCTTTCACGTCACGATCCTCATAAAGATTACAAAACTAACGAACGCAGTTAACTATTAAACCATTTTTGGAAACACGTTCGATAAACGGTGAGAAGAAAAGATCTGATCGCCAACCGAAACGCCTGTGCCAGGAGTAAAACCGTAAAGGATTGAATTTTTTATTAGAGCAACTGGAAGATGAGATTTCTCTAAAACACAGTGCAGATCTTGGACTGTTATTAATATAACGAAGCGGTCGGGATAGATATATGCGCGCAGGGGATGAATTCTATACTTGGAAAAAAAAAGGAATCTCGCCGTGGGACAGGGGAGGGCAGCAACGTTGAAAATAATTGTCCTGTGACTACGGGCCGGAAACCGCGCACCGTTCATCCTCGTCGCGTGAAAGCCCGCATATCGATACTCCTCGCTTTATCGTACGTACTCGTGTATCTACCGAGAGGAAACGCGTTCCGAACGCACACGTGCTTCGACGAGATCTTTTTTCTCTGTACGCAACACGATCATCGTTTCAACGAGTTTACGAAGCCCCAATGAATATGGGAAGACCGTAAAAAATCTCGAATACGCTTTGCATACATTTTTTTTATGGTTAACAACGATATCGTACACTGGAGACCTTTGGGATTAAAATTTGTTCGGAGCTGTGAGACAGGCATTGAATTGTCTGATATAACAAGGTCACGCGAGGCCGAAATCGCGCGAAGGAAAATTACAGATGCGAGTGACAGCTGGTTGGAAAGGTGTCGTTCGCAGGAATAAAGAAAGAAACGGAGGAGCGTAGCACGGAACGTGTGGAGAATGATATCGCCGAGGGAGAGGGTAAGGGAACGAGGAGAGGAGCGAGCAACGGGGACGAGTGACGTCACGACCGGGTACCCTTGTGGTACCCACATCATCTGTCGTCGTGTAGAGGTGCTTCGAAAAGTAAAATGAGAAAAAAAAAACAGGCACGGAGTACAGAAGAAGGAGGAGGTTTCAACCGACCGAGGTGCGTGCGAGGACCGCTTCCTGCGAATCCTTCGTTCCTACGCGTCTCTTCCGGATTTCTTCGTCGCATTTCTTTTTTTATTTCACGCGAAAGTCAAAGGAGGTTTCCCGAGGAGTTCCTTTCTGACCTCGATTTGAGTCGCTTTATCCATAATTCTCTCTGCTTCGTAGCTGTTTTGATTTTATTCCATCGTCAGTTGTTAATTGCGAGAAGAATAGATTTCATTTAATTCTCTGTGCACAGTCCGGATTCACTCTTTCGACTCTAAACGTTACTGCGATTCTATCTTTACAGAGATAGACGTGAGTTAATCGAAAAATCGAATTGGTTGAAAAGAGATTGGCGACGTTCCCTCAATGGAACGCGAACACGCGAGCTCGAGGATAATCGATCACAAAAACAGGAATCAGTACCTGGATAATGACGTATCTCAGTGGTAAAATGTATGCACGTAAATAAGGAAGACCGAAACGAGTGAGAGGGACAGAACGCTAGGTTTGTAACTAATGTACATTACCTGATTACCGTTTCAACGATCGATACGAGCATCGGTGGACGCGATTAAGCGCGAATGACAGTCAGAGACGAAACGGGCCGCGCGATTCGGTCATCGGCGAATGAATTTCGAACGGAAAACCGATACGACCACGATTAGGACGATTTTGCAAATTTTCAGCGGTTTCCGCCATTCACTACCGACCTATTCATTCACAACGGAGGAGCCCTCGAACGGAATCGTTCAACGTACTGTTTAGCCACTTTCGCGCGCCCTTCCGATTTAATCGAATCTATCATTCGAATCCTTTATTCGTTGCGTTGCTAGCTAACGAAGTTTAAATTAGAACCGTGTGATATCTTCAAGAAAGTAATCACCGCAAGGTTACGCGTCGAACCTCGCGTAACGAGGTCGCCGATGACGTTTCTACGATCTGTGAATAGATAAAAAAAGAAAGAGAAAAGGTGCGATCGATTTTAAATCAAGTTGTTGCACAAAATGATATGACGGAAAATAATTAAAGAAGCAATGCACTCTTGGCTGAGATTAACGAGTCACTCGGCAAAAATACTGTCGTACATTTGAGCCGTTATCTCGTTGAAATTAAAGGCGTGTCGTTCAATGATCCGCAATGATGAAGGGATTGAGGAAAACGTGCGACGATAGGAAGCTCGAAAGTAAAGGTGAACACGGTAGCTACGTATGTTTCTTGTTCGGAGTAGCCGATCGATACCGACTATTACTACAACCGTGTGTGTCCACTATTATTGCGAGCGTACTGAAGATACCGCGAAGGGAGCGGAATTAGCGCCGCTTTTTCATCGATCCTCGCTCTGAATCATTTACGAGGCTGTGTATGCACACAAGTTGCCGCGAAACGAAGCCGTTCGTAGTCCTCGCGACGCGATACTCTTTCCTCGCGTCTTCAGCTTTTTAGTATTCGTTGAAACGCAAACAATTCTGGATACGATAAATTTAAATTTATCAAAGTCCGGATAAATCAATTTTCAACTGAATTAAGGAAGCTCTTAATTTCAGGAAGAGATCGACACTTTTGAGTAGAGTCTGTACTACATATCTTTTAAACAGAATTTGAAACAGTGCACGATTACAGTATTTGAAAACATCGACGTCGAGCAACGCAGTTAGAGAACAATTTTTAAAGGCAGGAAAGGTGGGACGTCTCCGCGATTTCGTAGAAGGGGTGAGTTGTTCACCTGTGTGCTCGCGCGCCACTTTTCGAACGTGTTTTAATGAGACGACACCGAGACACTTGGAAAAAGAAGCGAGAAAGAAACGTGAGAAACAATGGCGCGGGAAACTCTAATCTGAAGGGCACTGGATCGAACCCTTCTCGTCTCTCGCAGCATTGTCTCCGCGAATGAACCCTTTACTACCACCGTGCCATCTTTTCTTCGACCCTTACGCGAAGCTTTTCGTGAGAGAGAGAGGGAATAAGAACGAAAGAGAGAGAGAGAAAAAATAGGAAGAGGTTCGACTGACTACAGAATAGTTACTACCCCTCCACTCGACATTATCTTTACGCCTTTGCCGACGTACAAAAGGAACGACGGAAAAGGAAAGGAGGTAGAGAGAGGAACGGAGGAAAGGAGGGAGGAGGGTGAGAAAAGAGCACCCCGTTGCCTCCGTGAAGAGAAATGTTTGTCCTCCGTGAACGCGAGTTTGCTTTTCTTATTTCTGACCCGAGCCACCCCTCTGTCTTGACCTTCTTTGCTGCACGCGGAATCGAAGCGAACCGAAGAGAACTCATTTCGTAACCGTTGGCTGACTCGAACGTTTCGCTTCCAATATCTGTTGCTTAAAAGAGAAGACAGGATATTATAAAGCCCTTCAATTTCAAGCCCTTCAAAGTTCCTTTAAACTGTGAGTCGCAAGACTTTTTTCATCGAAAGAAAAAGAAAATTGCCAAATTCGATTTCGCAACTTGTCAAGAGCCAACAAAAATTCGTTGTGATTAGATTACGAAATGGTCGGTGTTAGGTAACCGGTGTTTCGTCAAAACGAAAACGAGTACGGTCAAAACAAAGATTGAAAGAAACGGCGAAGGTGGACGGGTAGGAAGAATTGGACAGAGGCGCGAAACCGCGCAGGACCAAAGAGATAACGCGCTTCGAACGAGGAGAGGGACGTTGGGGCGCGAAGGGGTTATTTTCCGAGGGTTGAAAGAGGGGATGTCGGACAGCGTGGCGGCGGCATGGCGAAGATGGCGTCGCCGAGGTCGCGTCTGCGCCGCGACGCGTACACCGCGTGACCACGATCAATAAACACGGTGTACGGTGGTGTTGTGCCGGGGCAAAGGATGTTGAATTCGAAAAGTGTTATTCCGCGCGTCTATCTCTGAATGATATGGAAGGGAACGCCTCTCCACGTGGGTGCCACGTGTGCGCTTCCGCCCCCCGCTTCCGTCTCCTCTCGTCTCTTTACGCGCTCTCGGCGAACGCGCTCTCGTATCTCGATTTCGTCCGTCTGTTTCCAAAACAGCCCCGTTCACCCTGTTCCGTCCTATTCCACTTTCCGCGATTTTCACTTGGTCGCTGTTGCTACCTGAACCGAGGTCGCTCTTGCCACTCTTGGATGCGCCCGTCGGTACACCCTTCGGCGTTCGACGTCTCTAATCATGATCGAACGATTCTTCGATTCGAACGAGGCACAGAACAGAGTCTTGCCACTTAAACTAGCGTCTCGTTATTTCGGAATGCTTGCGAGGAGACAGAATAGAGTGTCGATAGTCGAGCTGTCTACAAGGAGGAGTTTCAAATTCCACAGTCATAGCACAGAGTCGAGAGGTTTTAGGTAGCTTGGAAAAGTCCGAGCAAAGCGCGATGCGCGTGGAGGTATAAAAATGTTGAGCGACACGCTTGCGTTCGCGGATAACGACAACGGTACGCGTACTCGTAGACGTGAGAAACCGCGTACGCGCGCGAAATGATAATTGATCGAGAAAAAAGATGTATCGAGTGGTCGATCATTCGAAGCGAACAAAGAGGTCGGCGAATCGACGAAGACAAAGGTGACGAGAAAAGGAGCGTGTCGTTATAGAATATAGAGAATTGAGAATATAATATAGTAATATGGAGCGTGGAGTTGATTCGTGTTCGGACGGACTAACCTGCTAGCCGCAAGGCCGACATTCTCTGAAATTCTGGCTCCTGCAGCCACTTCCACATCCGTCGGAAGGTCTCCCGACCGCTCTTGAGCTTCGACCAGGGTTTCGGGTTGCGTAGGAGATCGCTGAGGGTGCCTTGGCTACGGCACAGCACCCTCTGAGCGAATATCGCCTGCGGTATGCTGTACCTCTTCAGCTCGGCGCTGATCCTCTGTGCGAGCTCTTTCGTGTTGATCTCCTCGACCTCGCCGGCACCGTTGCCCGCGGACGAAACACTCTTCATGACGACCGTCGTGTGCTGCACGTGCTGCGTGTGCGATATCGTCTGCTGCGGCATCGACTGTTGCTGTTGCTGCTGCTGTTGTTGCTGTTGCTGCTGTTGCTGCTGCTGTTGCAATTGAGTCTGGATCGGTGGCGGCGAGGCGGCCGGTACCGAGTGCGTGGGCGGGGAATGATGCGAGGGCGCGAAACTGGCCGTCGCCGAGACAGCAGGAGGCGAGGATGGGCTCAGCGCGGCCGGACTCTGTTGCAACCTCGGCAGGAAGGCCGGATCGTAGTGAGGACTCGCGGACTTGTGCGGCGAGTTCAATCCGCTCTGGCTGTAGGCGCTCTGCGGCGATAAAGGGCTCGGCTGTAGGCCGGCTCCCGGCGACGGGTAATTGTGCGGCGGCGACATGCTCATCGGCGGCAACTTGTCGTACGCGTACGGCGAGCTCGCCATGCCGAGGCCGATGTTCCCGAGGCCGTTGTTCTGCATCACCGCGAAACTTCCCGTGACGCCGCCGGCCGCGTGCGTGCTGTACACAAACTTGTCGCTCATCGTCGAGATCGGCGGCAACGGTTGCAACGGCGTCAGGGTAGCGTACGAGGAACCCGGGCTGAACCCGGGCGGCGACATCCTTTCCGCGACCGAGGTCAGTGTCTGATAGGTCGGCTCCGGCTGCATCGCCCTGAAGTCCGTCGCGTCGATCATGCTCGCGACCGAGACGCTTATTCCCGAGGTCGGCGTTAGCTTCCCGGGACTGAGCAGCTCCGAGTCGGCGTCCCGCGAGTCCACGTCCACGTCCTGAGGCGGCACGATCACCGACAGGGACTCCCTCGCGTTCTGTCTACTACCACCACCGGCACTACCACCACCACCACCACTACCACCACTACCACCACCAGCACTACCACCACCTCCACTACCACCGCCGCCTCCGCCGCCGCCACCGCTGCTACCACCGCCGTTTCCGTTGCTACCACCGGCGCCACCGACGGCACCTCCGCCGCAGCCGCCACTGCTGCTGCTGCTAGTGCTACTCGTGCTGCTACCGCTGCTGCTGCCACCGCTGCTACCACCGGCGCCACCGACGGCACCCCCGCTGCCACCGACGATGATGTTAACGCCGCCACTTCCGCCGCCAACGCCACCGCCACCGCCGACGACGACGACGCCGACACCGTTGTTACTGTTACTGTTGCTACTGCTGTTGCTGCCTGCTCCGCCGGGATGATCCTGAGACAACGAGAGATCTTCCGCGGCGGCGAGCTCTCGCTCCTCCTTGACGCTGAGCGCGCCGGCCGCGAGTAGTTCCAGCGGCAAGCTCGCGCACGCGATGTCCGGGCTTTGCGACGCCGACGAGGACATACCCTCCGCGCTTCCACCTCCACCGTTCCCGTTGCCACCACCACCGCTGCTGATAATGAGTCTACCACCACCGCCGCCTTCTTCTCCGTCGGCGCACGATTCTTCCTGGTGCAGGTGTTGCTGTTGATGATGATGATGATGATGGTGATGCGGATGATGGCTCGCTTGTTGCTGTTGCTGCTGCTGTTGTTGATGATGTTGCTGATGGTGGTGATGATGGTGGTGGTGGTGATGATGATGTCTACCCCCACCGAGCACCGTCCCTCGAACAACGGCGTTACCTCCTCCACCACCGTTCCCTCCACCTGCACAGTTCCCATTCGAGCCACCCCCACCGGTTCCCCGGCCATGCGTAGACACCGCCGCCGGGGAATCGACCGAGTCCAATAATTGCTCGCTATGCGATTGATGATCGGCTATGTCCCCTATACCTTCCATTTACGCACATCTAGTTCGGGTGGCCGCGCACTCGCTCTCCCGTGCTCGGGCACGCCGCGTGCCACACGTATCGCGGTTATCCTAGTTCGCGAGATATCTCGTCCACGATCACTGTCGTCGCGCGCCAACGAGACGATTCGTTTCTCGAACGTCGAACACGTTCACATACCGTGTGGTCGCGCTCGCCCCGATATCCCCGTTATCGGTCAAGTTAATAAAACTCCGTTCAACCACCGTATCGCACCTCACAACCGTCCGACGAACGCACAATATCCTATCGATGTACACCCGGCGCGCACCGATCGTAACACGATTCTCTCGGTTTATCGCACCACCGCTCTTTCCTCTCTCCCTTCTCTCTTCTCTGCCGGCTCTGTACTCTGTCTACGAGGGTTGTGTCACTGAGACCAGTCGCGAGCCGCGTTGACGCGTCGCGTCGAAGAACGGAACGTAGCGGATCGCGAGCAGTACGGTAACGAGCCTGGCGACGAGGAGCACCAGTCGTTCGTGGCCGGCAACCACCCCGAGGCGAGCACCGTCGGGCTTGTTCCGACCCGGCGAGGAACGACAAAGCGTATTCCGATCCCGCGCGTGAACGATTTCCCGCGAAACGCTGCTACTGCTGTCGCTGTCGCTGTTTCCCGATCGCACCTTTCAGACAAGTCAGACGCGCGTCCGGCACGTTGTCGGATCGGCATAGAGATCCGGTAGCAGAGCGGCGGCGACCACCGTGCGCCCATGACATACGCGGAGCGAGTGAGAGGACGCACGCACCTCGCTCAAGTGAATACGACGACGAGTTGAGTAGTCGACGAGTTTAGTCGGTGTGTGTGTGTGTGATCGCGTGTGTTCGTGTTCGTCGCCCGAGCGATAGGGACAAGAAACGTGTAGTGACCCGAGCGAGAAAAAGACCGCGCACACGTGATATACACACACGTCGGAGAGCAGAAGAGAGAACAACGACGGTCGGAGAGAAGAAGGGGGGAGATACGTCTCTCTCTCTACTCTCTTATCCGTTCCTCTCTATCTCTCTCTCCGTCGCACCCTCTCGGTACCCCGAGCCGTCCAAAGGACCCTTCCGTTACGTTCACTCCGCCCCCTTTCCTCTCTTGACTCGAAACTCGTGGATCCTCTCTCTCTCTCTCTCTCCCTCTCTCTCTCTCTTTCCCTGTGTAGCGACACCACCACCACTGTCGTCGGCCACCACCACCACCATCAACAACTACCACCACCGGTATCACCGTTTCACCACCTGGTCCACCCTACACGCTTTTAGAGCAGCGTGCTTCTCGGGCGCGCTTTCTCTCTTTCCGCCTCCCTTCCCTCGTACGCGCGTTCTTTCGTGAGTTCGTTTTACGGTTTACGCAAACGGACGCGTGCTACGGTTCGGTACGGGTCCAGGTGCGATTCTCGTGCACGCACTTACACGCTCGCGTGTATGTACCTCTCTCTTTCCGTCTCCTTCGACGCGCCACCAGCGAACCGGCCAGTTTCAACCACCACCACCGTATGACCACCACTACTCGTACCTGCGCGATCTCTTCCTTCCGAGGCGTGACACCACGTGAAAAAGCTAACCCCTTTACTCACGAGAGCGGGACACTCGCAGAGGCTAACAGCTGAACACAACCGCGTAACCGGCGTCTCCTCTATCTATCTCTCTCTCTCCCTAAGCGCGTCTCATTTGTTTCCGTCACGCGAGTGAAACTGGTCGCGTTCGTTTTCGAGTTTCCATCGGCGATTGTCTCTCGAGAATGGATCGAGCTCGAAGACAGTTGAACTTGAGCCGCACGTACTATTCTCCGGTCGAGAGAAGCGACTGGAGCCACCCCCGGTGAGTCTAAGTCGGCATATTCGAGGGACCACTACGTGCGCGCCGCCACCACCACCACCGCCGCCTCCTCCACCGCGGCTCTACTGGCGTCAGTCAGCTTTCTATCGATTTTCCGATACCTCGTGACCAACGTTGCTCGATGCGCCGATACTTCGAGCATAAACATCGACTGCCCGCCGCAACACCTACATATATTCCTCGTCGACGCGACACGTTTATCGCCGCGTCGTCCTAGCAATACGCGACTCGATCCGATTATCGAGTGTCCACTAAGATCCTTCTCGACGATGCCTTCTCCTCTTCCTTCTTATCCTAATTTTTACCAATCTCTCCTCTCGCCGATAGTATCATCGTAATGTTCATCGAGTTTTTCAAAATCTCGGGTATAACGTTGTTTGTCATCCCGTGTAATCTTCACGCTGTCTTCCGATTGTTTAAAATGTCAATTGACAATGTTCATCGAGTCATTAAAACGATCGTCAGATCCATTAAAATTGTAGACAGCATTTTTCAAAATAACAGGTAAACATTCTTCCCTTGAACAAGCTCGTTGCCATTCTGACGAGTTTTCACAATATTCTCCAACGTTTTGAAATCGCGTTCCTCTTCACTAGCTCGGAATGTTCAACGAAACTTTGTAAAGTCCAATGTTCGATCGTTTAAAATCACAGCGCTCGACGCGATGTCCTCGGTCACAAGATAACAGTGTTTCGTGTACCGTGAAGCCAGCCTCCGGCCCGTGACGCGAACCGAATCCCGAGATCAATAGGCAATCGAAACGGGGAATCTTTGCTGCACTGTTCGGCCAGCAAATCGATTCCTCCACGTGTGCCGAAGCGGATTGTTGCGGAGCGTCTCGGCCAGTTCGACGCAATTTCGACGATCGAAACGCGCATCCGCGTCCCCGTATCCGAGGAGAGGAGTGGGAAATGCCGGGGGCCAGTCTCCAAGATGTCCTCTCTTCCCGGGGTCTTCCCGAACGCGTGCCGCCCCTGTTTCTCACCCCCGATATATCGAAGCCGTGGAGGCGATCGATCGTTCGAACAGAGCCGACCTTCGTCCAATGTCCAATCGAACGAGAAGCGCGTCGATGGTGCGGATCGAACGGGGCTACTCCGCGAAGAAGGGGTAGCTCATCGATCTCGGCGACGAGTCGTCGGACTCTCGTTCCGATTCGATTCGTACGAAGGTAGGATTAAATCCACCGGTCAGTCGATGATTCGACGAAAATCGTGCACATCAACCCGCTCCGGCGCGAATCCTCTTCGACTCGCGATTCCGGCCCCGGTTAACGCCGCGCCACCGCCGCTCGTGCGCATTCACGCGCACGCGTGCGCGTACCCTTGTCTTCCTTCCTTCCGAACCCGTGTCACCCTTTCCCGGAGCGGCGTCTACCACCCTCTTTCGAGTGCCGCTCCTCTACCGAGCACCGCCGTCGCAGTCGACGCCACGATTCTTCTCAAGATTCTGCGAGATATCTTTGCATCTCGAATCGATACGAGTCGCTCTGAACGAATCGTTGGCGTCGCAAAACCTAATCGAGTTTGCAGAATACTTTCAATCGCGGTTCCTCGCGGATTCCGTTCGACGTTGTATAGAACAATCGCGGCGCGCGCCGAAACACGTCGACGAACGAGAGGAAGCGAGAGGTGCCCGCTCGCGAGGAATTGGAGGAAGCGAGCGGAAAGAGGAGTTGCGCAAATCGCGAACGCGACTGCTACGCGGCTCGTCTGAGCCGCGTCCTTCGGCCGTCAGAGAAACGGGAGGGGTTTCTTCTGGAAGAGGGTGGGAGAACGCCCAGAGGGGTGGAGATCTTGCGACGGGGATCTGTAACGAACTCGATACGTAGGGGTCGAGAGGGGTGCCGAGGCGAGCCTCGAAACGCTGCGAAGGGTGGCTCAGGCACCCATCCGCCATTCGCTGTACCCCGGCCCACCGAATTCTTTTCTCAGTCTTCTTCGAGGTTAAATACAATTTCCGTTTGTGCAGTTCTAATACACGTGCGAATCAATTATAAAGTATGCTATGAGGATATATGCATATCGTGCGCAAATATAATATATAATAGCAAATTATGCATATCTGCATCTTCAGTTACTAGAAGGAATTCATCTTAAATTCTGATTATACCAAATTTTGAGAAGTGATTCGTTCAGTGTGTACATAATCATCTTTTCCGCGCGAAAAACTCGAATCGCGCGCGTCAAACAGGTTCACGAAGATCGATCGATAGTACCTGCCACCGGTTTCACTGGAAGTGCTATCAAATGAAATCCATGAGCCGTTCCAACTGAATAAAATCAATATGAACTTACGCAAAGGAAAAAACAACGCATCACGCTCCAGCATTGAGACTCAGTTCGGTTTTCTACCGATTTTCAATTTAAACATTCGGGGGTAAAGGCGAAAATGAAGAAAATATCATTTTGAAATATCGTCGTTTTCGATCCCAAGGGGTGGCAAAGTTCTGCCAACGAATATTATTATAGTTGCTCTTTTAGAACAATAAACACAAACGAGCTATCGGCTTCAATAATATCGCAAGAATAATGCTACTTTCTAAAACGTCAACTGGACTCGACACGAGGGCACTTTAACGCCCGAGTGTGCCGATCCTGAGGGTTGGTTGGCTTGGAGGGGTGAAGCAGCGATGTAACGTCGATATCGCGCTCTATACCAGGCGTCGCGACGCCGAGTAGGGCGGATCGGGGTGCAGGGGAAAGTTCCACATGGGTAAAATAATCGATACCGCGACCGATATGTATGTACCGAAGCCCCGTGTGTATGTATATACGCGTGTACATAATGGCGCTAACACCAATACGTGTAACCCGGTTCTATGTACGAGCGCGCGTGCGGTTACACGCGAGCGGCGACAGGGTTGGAGAGGAGCGAGGAGAGTGGACGTGGATAAAGAAAGAGAGAGAGAGAGAGAGAGAGAGGTGACGGTCAGTCGGTGCACGTAAAGGCGCGCTGCCATAAACACGGAAACGGAGAAAGAGGGTTGTAAGTTCGGGGGTGAGAAACGCAGATCTTAGAGTTCGCCTGCTGCTTGGCAGTAAGGATAATTCCGCCGGAAATCGTAGCACGGCCATTGTATGAATTGATAACTGATGTCTCGTAATAGCAACAATTACTTGAAATATAAAGAATATTCTTATAAATACGATCGACGCTTAAACTATTAATGCCAAATAAATGAAAAGGAAATAATTCTGAGATTTGCAAGACGAAAGATAGCAATACAGAGTAGTGGATACTTTTTTTAAAACCGCGATTTGTAAGTTCTGTTTGCGATTATGCCTCTTCGACGGAGTAGTAAATTCATAGGTGAAGAGATAAAGTGCGAACGAGCGCGGGCATAAAATTTGCATGTCGCCTCGAGAGAGACCAGATAAGGGCGTTAATATAGTGGGCAAATAATAATAGATTATAGTGGCCGGGTATTTAACGGCGAGGACGGGGAAAGGTGGAAAAGGGACAAGGAAAGAAGGGAGAGCGTGGGTGTAAGATCGGGGGTCGGTTAATAATAACTCGCGCGGATTTCCCGTATAAATACTACCGTGGAAAACACGGTTGTCGTTCCAAGGGTGGAAAATCGCTGTTGCGAAAACGTGCAAAAGGTGATGGTAGAACCCGCGCGGGTCATTTGGAACAAAACGTGGTTAGCGAAGGCAACGTGCACAGGTAGAAAACAATAACTCTTTTGTCTTCATGTTTTATATTTTATTACTAAATATCCTAATCGTTCGAGAGTATTTGAGATTGATCCAATTAAAGAACTGGATCACCATGTAAAAAACAATTTGAAAGTATCTATTAAGAAAGCGAAACAACCGGGCATACGCTTCTTGCATCGAGTAAAAATAAAAAGAAGTCTACCACACACGAATGGCTAAAGGGGTGCAAGGATAGGGGAATAGAAGGAAGACAAAAATTTGTATACCGCCGACAAGGGGTGAGCGCAACGTCGATGCATTTGTCTGAAACCCTCCAAAGAGAATCGTGGAGAGACAGAGAGAGAGGGAAGGAACGCGTACGCGGCAAGTATGTACGACCGCAAGAGTATATAGGACGAGAGAGAGGACGGAAGGGGGATGAAACAGGACAGGAGTGGGTGGTAGACACGAGCTTCGAAGAACGCGTAGGTGTCGCTGACCAAGGGAAAGCAAGACGCGAGAGACAGGGAAACCGTATGTACCTAACGTGAAATTTGTACATGGCCGCAAATGGTGAGACCGGCCAGCGGGGGGTTGAAACGCGTATGTACGCTTAGGCACACGGACCATTACCGGGCAACCCTTGGCTACCCTATCGCCACGGCTGCGCGGCGGCCGTTGAAATTTTCCGAAACTGTGCCGCAAACTACAAACTTCGGGGCGAAAACGAGCGAGTTTCGATCGACAGATCGATCCAATTCGATATTCGGTACGTGGAAACACATTCTCGTGTTTCGTAGATACCGTTCGGAACAGGATAGTTGACGTAGATAGCGATCTCTTCACGTTTTTGTTTCGAGCTCGTGGAACACTGTAGGAGTCGTTAGACCGGTGGATTCGTTGTAGAAGGGGTGGTTTTCGAGGTTAATTTCGAAGGAAAGCTTTCTTGGAAGATATTAAAATTCCTGGTCTGCTCTGTTGGAATATCGAGAGCGTTCCTCGAAGCATTTAAAATTCATTTCTCGAACATCGCGTACTATCCAGCTGCATTTCGATATCGATATCATTTTTAAATAGAAATCCATTTTAGAATCTTTCATTCTTCTTTCATTCTTTATGATTATTTTATGACCTCGTGAGTATTCATGTTAGGTGTCCGCTTAAAATGTGTCTGTCATTTAAAAAGTATTCCATCAGTCTGACTTCAGATAAATACGAGATTCGTTTATTATTACAACGTTTGACAAACATTGGGTACGAACCATCTCGTTTCGAGAATAGCTAAGTGTGTCCCCGTTGTTATTTCACATTGATTTAAAATCAAAAATATTCGTGTCTGACGTATTTCTGTTCCGTCGCGGTTGACCGACGATATTCTTCTTTTTCTTCGCGGTTTTTATTCTTTCATCGTCAGAAAGAGGAGAGGAGATCAAGAGGTATCTATCCGCGCGTTCCTTCGCTATCGATCATTCGACCACGCAGGGATTTTAATTTCGCGCGGGCAAAAAAAACCGTCGCGAAACGGACGGAGAATTTTTATGAATTAACGAGATTTTGTTGCGTCCGACCCCCTCGGTTCCACCCCGCCTTCGGCCCGCGGACAGCGGCGGATGGAATGTAATTAGAATGAAACAGGAAGCCCTCGGGCCTCCTTCGATGCATCCCCTGCTTCCGGCCATTTTTCACCCCCTCTCCATTCTCGCTACGCCATCCGTACGATTTTTTCCATCCATCATTGCATTATAAATGATTAAACAGCTCTGTGAATTATTGAGTTAAAAATATCGAACTTCTCATACGTCACTCAATTATATACGAAAAAATGTGTCATGTATTATTATCATACATGCGATATTTCCAATTTATAGAAAAATGAAAAAATTCCAGATCGAATAAAATGGATCGATTGTTCGTTTCTTCGGAGAGTTAATAGTCTGGCAGCGATCGTTTCTTGAAAGTTAAATATGTTTCAAGTGTTACGGGGGAAACATGATCTCTGTGAAGAGTGTTTCGAGGGATTCAAATCGATTTAGGCACGGAAGCCATGCAGTGGACCCTAGGCTGGTCAACAACGTTGATGATACTGTTCGAAGCGTCCAATCAACGACTACACGGCTTTCCACGTAGGTTACAGTGACTCACAGATTCGTTAAATACCTCCACGTTTTAAAAATATTGGCCGCATCTCAATTTACAAACACGGAGCATATGAAATTCTGAAAGCGGTAGAAACAGGAAAGGAATATGTATAATTGCCTGCTGTGAACGAAGTCCGTGAGTCACCGTATACGTAATCGATATCTAACACCGTATGAAACAACGATCGGAATTTTCAAACAAACTACTGACCCAATCATGAATTACGTAACATAGTAAAGAGCGACGATTTTAAATATAGATTACTCCTTACTGAAGCTCATCGAGAACAATCGATATTTCTATAATTATTTCGTCACTCGTTACGCGTAAATGTATTATTATATCCGCATTTTCTAACAATAGTTATCCCAACTATTTTCAGTACTTCACAGCGTATTCTTCTCGCGAATATTCATAATCTGATTATCTTAATATTTCAACTTCACTCTCTAATTTTTCCAAAATAGATCAATTAAAAATCTCAGTTATTCTAAATAAAATTGCCGAAACATTCTCGTTTCTAAGTCGTCGAGCCTCATACCGAAACTTGTCAAAGGACCATTGTAGTGCCTCAATTATTCGATAATAGGTAATGAGTCCTCGGCCCCAGACAGACAAACACCTAACGTTCCGTGGGGGCCTCGTCTGTGAGAAGGAAACAGGGCACGGGCCCGACAGTGCAGATGTCTGTCGAGGCCACACCTGGCGGCAGGTGGTGACTGCCACGGGAGTTCCCCGTTACCCCCGTTACACCCTCGTCAGCCCCCCTGTAGGATTCACGCGTGTGCCCCTCGCGATCATGTGTTACCTGGCACGCGTATACTCTCTCTCTTGAGGATAGGAAACCGATCAACTGCTCGCACGAAGAATCCGGATCGGTTTCTCCTAGTCTTACGAAAATTCTGTTTTATGGGCGTAAATTATTGATTAATACGGAGACGATATTAGACCGAGCAAAATACTTTTATTCATCTCTGCACTATATATATTAATTAATGAGACACTTCTTTAATCGTATTCAGCACCGATAGTAATGCTCATTTCTTCGGAAACGATCTTCGTTTGATGGTACCAGCGGTTAGTATCCAGAACAACTATTCAACAAATTGACCGAAACGATTATCGTGATTAAAGGGTAGAACACGAAGTACCTACTTATCTCTCCGGGATGCACGACAACTTCCAGTCTATTGCAAGTGTAATAACACTCTCGTGGTGGTTCCAAAATCCACAGTTTCTCGCCTTTAATCTGTGCTTGCCACGAGGGATGTTCCACGTCGTCCACCTATGATAAAAATACGTATAATAGAATACGTGTACAAAAAAAATATGCGATGGAGACGCTTACGTGTATGGGTGCGCCGTAACCATGACTTCCCATAAAAATCCAATCGGTTTTCTCCGTTTCAGCAGTATCGGGCAGGAAGTAGGGTCTTTGATAGTATTGCCTTAATACACTACCGATTTCCTCGTCGCAGTTACTCCTTCAATTATAATTATTATTTTTGTTGACGTAAAATGCATTCGAGAGTTTCACTAAAATTTGACTGGAAAGTTTGGTGGGGGAGTATCTGGAGTGCCCATGAACGGGGGCAGTTTTGTGGCTTCGATAACCGCCCTAAAGCTCGCGCGTATGCACACAATCCGGCTAACGAGCTTACAAGCGCAACGTTAACATCGGCCCCGTGTTCATCCCGTGAAACAATTACCCAGAAACTCGTCGCATTCGTGTCAAACGGGTTCCTCGTACCTTTTGAACATGGACCAAATTAAAAAAAATTTGGCCACTTACCAACCCACGTACCACGGCCTCGTCCCTTCCTGTAGCAAAGCTCGTTCGGCGCTCATGTCGAAAACATCCTGAAGGCTTTTAAACTCGGTCTTGTAAGGAAAGAACTGGCAGTTCGCATCCTGTCCATCGTACAACGACTTGAAAAACGAGAACGAGAACGCCTTCGTCGCTGTCCAGTTGACCATCGCGTCAGTTACAACCACGGGCCTTCCAGAATACGCGTAACTATTCGTTGGATTGTTTGAACGAGATTAAAATACGAAGTGGATCAAACGAATTGTAGAATAGGATGGATGTTAAATGATTTAGGGATGATACCGTTCCTCAAAAACGGCAGGATCCACATTGGATATCCTGTCAACCTGTTGAACGTCCTGACAAATCGAACAGTCCTCAGCTGGCCGAAATATTTTCTGCGTGAACGAAGGCAACTCCGCCAGGCACTTGAAAAATATTCCATTCTTTATGGCCAATTATTCTATTAATATTGAACGCGAAAGAAACGTCCTTTATTGTATTATTTGGGAAAGCGATTGTGTCGAAGAATTCATGAAGATCAAAATGATATTGATAAGCAACATTAAGAATGAATAAGAGGAAAGAGGATGAAGATATAGATTTCATAAAAAGAATTAAATCAGTAAAATCGGTTGCAGCTCACCTTATCATACCGCATCGTGTACGCGTAATTCCAGAGGAATTGGGCCAGAATCCACGCGAGGATCAACAAGATCCACAGGTGTCTCCAGCTGTTGAGTTTCGATCCTCCGGATCGCAGCAGCCGGCGCGCACAAAATAATTTCACTGATCTCTTAACGAGGCTCTCCCCTTCGATTTTCGTCACTAGCGAACGCAATTCCCTTTTCGCGTGTTCGAATGACTTTTTCGAGACCTCCTTAGTCATATTGTTACTGTTCACATCAGTCATGACACTGAACAACTGATAACTCAGTCAAAAGGGGCGTCGATTATCAACTTGCTTAAGGAGGTTCGTCAGATTTCACGAGGTGCGGATGGTATGCCTATGCTTATTCGTATTCAGAGTCGTTTCTTACTCTTAAGATTAAGAATTTGCTATCCCTGTCTATCCCATATTTCCAGTCCTTGTCTTGCACACGGAACAGAGACGTAAGCAAATGCTTAAAACGATCTTAAGAATAAGCAACGACTCTGAATATTGGCCACTACTGTATTGAATAGCTTGCTCAATCGCAATAAAATATCTATTAATCATTAAATTATTAAACAAACCGTGTTGTGAACATAGTCAAATATTTTTTTAGATTTTGAGGAATTGTTTCAGCTTTATGTTTCATAGCTTTTTTTTAACATCTTAATTGTGTTTCGATATGATATCTAACTTTTAAGTAAACTTTCTGGACCTTCTCCATAAGAATGCGTGTATAAGAACCCATTTTTCATATTGATTTTTCTCGGATACTAGATTGTAGATCGACTCCAAATTTTAACAGGATATTCATTACACATTAACCATTGAATTTAAATAATTTGCAAGACCTTTTTAATTTACACATTTCACTGACAAACCTCCTTAACGAATTGTTGAATTTTCAATTAAACGTCCGAGTAACGATGTACTGTTTGCTTTTTTAACCAACAATTTTTGGGATTGTTCCCTGGAGAGCTTCTTATGGTCTTGATGGTCGAGGTGAAACTGTGGCGAGGATCTTTTCACGGGGTTCCACCGAAGGACTCAGTCGCGCATGGGGGGATGACGCGAGGCGAGCCACGGGGGTGTGAAATGAACAGGAATCTAGGCTACCGATTGATTGAAACGGGATACGAAACCGTGGAAAGGGTGATCGAAACAATTTCTCATCTAATTTCTAACAGTCGAAACAGTGGTTCAATAGAGAAAATAAAAAAGCTTTAAAAAAAGAGAAAACTAGATAGAAGGAATGGAGATGCAACTCAACTTACGCATACTTTCACATACCATTTTTATTTATAGAAATAGTAGAAACGTGTAGAAGTGGCGTTGTTTACTAGAATCAAAAAGGAACGTAATCATTGTAAAAGCGATATTTGCTGTTTCGTATTTTACGTCTGATCAAGGGTTCTCGTTTAATAAAAAAAAAATTAGCAAGCGGCTTTAGCGTTCGAACGAATCCCCTACGTGAGAGAAGCATGCATCGGTGGTGGTCTCTTATCGCACGCGGAGCAGGTGGTGGTGTTCACCGAGCCGTGAGGTTTTTCTTGTTAAAATACAATCAACCTTTATCACACGCTACCATTTCTTTAACGCGAACTTATTCTTCCAACGAAAGAATCGATATCAATTTCTGCCCGGCAGGCATCCATCCTGCTTCGTAAAAAGTTTTATCATTCAGTGATATTCTTTCTCCTCATTTCGGGAAGAATATCATTCTAAAAGAAAAGATGAGATATTTGCATAAAACACGTTCCTCGGTAAATTCATTGCGAATCGCAGGATTGTCCCGTTCGAATTTGTCATTTGCGATTGTAAATTGACAATCTACATTCTCGTTAACAAACCCTCAACGAAGTTGATTCGTTTCGGATCAATCGATGCGTTTCAATCCTCTTTCCTGCGTTACAAAGCGTGACTGAAGTAAGTTGTTCTCGAATATATTTACTTATATATAAAAAAGAACAAAGAGATAAAGAGAGAATTAAACTAAAAAAAGAGTTGTTAAAGAATACTTTTAATTGACGACTTCAAGGAATTTCGTGGGGGGTGGATGAAAAAGAAAACGCACGAGGTGGTTTCAGCGCAATTAAGTTCTTTAATTGTTATCAGTCGGGTTCGAAATACACTAGTCGATCCTTTTTGTTATCGTTTAATAATTATTGTATATACTGTGGTACTCCTCCGATATAAATAATACGACGTCAATAAAATAATGACAATATGTTTGTTCTTCGTCCCCCGTCTTAACAAATTATATATATATATATATTATTATTAATATTATATCATTATACCTACTTCATTTAGTACTTGCTTGTCATCGATAGATTGCGTAAAACATGTACGAGTTAAATAAAAACGACGATGACGATGATAATGATCGTGACGATGATAAATCCTCTCGAGGGTGAGTATCGAGGGGAGAAATATTCGGAAATAGGAACGATACTTTTGTCCAGAGACGTAGAGAAGAATTAATTTTCCATCTTAGAACAACTCACTATAACATACTTTAAGCTAGTACAGAATTCTTCAATATTTTGTCTAAACGAAATTGTAAATTGTAATGAAATAATTTTCAAAATTTGTTTTTAAATAAAACAAGGACTATATCTTTTTTTTAATGTGACAAATACGACTGGCGAAGGTTCTCCCCGTACCCACCCACAGTTTGGACTACGTTTTACAATTAATACTAAATGCGTGGTGAAATTCCTCTAATACATCTAAAATGCACATCCATGCTTATTTAATGCTCTTTTTAATTTAAATACGTATGCAGCACTGTAGCCTATCTTTTTTTTTTCTGTTCTATTCGTTATGCACGTGCCTCTGTCACTCTCTTTATCTTTCATTTTCATTCTCTCTCTCTCTTGCGCGCGCACGCTCTCTACGCGTCTACGTATGCACGTATGTATATGTGATGTGTGTATGCGTGTGTGTATACATGAGATACGTGACATTTTCCTTTCTGTTGTTTTCGTGATTTTTTTCATTTTCTCTCGTGTTTCATTTTTCTCTTTCTCTCAGCGATGGCGAAAAACCGGAAACTTTTCCCTCTGGTTGCCCGAGAGGTCGACTACCAGCTCATTTAGCTGGCTGATTATCTATTTTCAACGAAACAGTTGAAACACTAGCGAGTCTCCCTTGTCTCGGTTCTCTGAAAATTTTCTGATGCAGCGATCTGATGGAGTCACTCGACTATTTTTGCGCTAATCAGTCTTCTCGAGTGATCGGATGACAATGATCGGCGATGAACGGGTGAATTATTTTTTGATCCTCGATCTGTGCAGCTCGAAAATCGATATCGATCACCGACGCCTTATCAACATTTTTCAACGACATGAAAGTACGCAGGAGAAAGTGCGTTTACATTTTAAATTTACCGTAACAAATTAAATTACGAAGAGATAATTTTACTCGAGTTACAAATGAATAAACAAAAATTTATACTTTATCATCTTGTCGAATAATCGTGTCAAACGAAATTGATTTCACCTGGTAGAAAGGAAGTACGGGGAACGGGTGGGAAATAAAAAAAAAAGGAAGAACAGTCCTTTTGAGAATCATGGTTTTTTTCATAAAAAATAATTCTTAGGAGATCGAGATCGATTCGCGATCCGTGCAGCGAGAAAGCGGCTACGCAACACACAGCTTCTTCTCGTCCGCCGTTGCTCAGCTTTGTAGGCCGGCGAGAATCGCGTAAAAAACGGGGTGTAAAAATCGCTATACAGTTAATAAAACGCGACGCCGCGTTAGAAAAATTTTCGCGTCGCTTCACTCCCTTTTTTTCTTCCTCCCTCCGTTATTGAGAACCGTGGCTGAAATCGCGTTCATTGATTCTATCGTCTCCGAATCCTCCCTGAACGAATTCGATTTTCCATGTTATTACAGTAGAGATAACAAAATCGTTTTTATAAAGAATCGATAAAGTGACTCGTTCAAAGAGAATTCACGTTCGACCTCAGCGAAGCATTTTAGTAGTTTTTCTTAAATAACGGAACTGAAATAATTTCCCGAGTAAAATTCGTGAAGATTAAAGAAAAGAATATATATTTTTTTTTAATATGCTTCCTGAGATCGAACGGATTCGACGTCTTTAAGAACAGTTTGTACAATACTTGTTACACATGCGCTCGTATAAAATTGTTGACTGTGCCGAGAAAATTGTACTCTATATAGTTTGAGATTATAAAAAAAAGTATATTCCAACATGGACTATCACAAGATTAGAAGACCTGTTGCTCGTCGAGGAAGAGTTGTATAGCTTGAACTTGTGTCACATTTCAATTATTTCCAACCGTTAAAAGTTCAGCTATCAAATTCATCGCTCGAACTATACTTTGAACAAAATTGCACACATTATTTGCACTGCTTAAAAGATATGTTCTCTTCTCCGTAGCTAAATTTAATTCTAAAATACCGTAACTACTAAAAACTACTTAGAGAGTGCCGAAGACCCTCTGATAGAAAGCTCTCTAAATGGAAGAAGACCCCTCTTTTACTCGACACAGCGCGATTTACAGAGATACAAATTTCATTTTTGCTCAGCCTCCGGTTGTTGTACCATTGACGATCGTTCTTCTTTCACCACGATGGCGTGTCTCTTTATTAACTTAACTTATTACTTTTCTGTTTCTTCCTTTGCGAATGTGTCATACTCCACGAGACTACATTTTTAAAAAAATCCATCGCTTCCTTCCATCAACGCTCTCTTTCTCTCTCGCTCTATTTTTCTTTTCGTCGCTCGTTAATCCTCGTAGAAAATTAGAAACGCTGGTACACAGAAACGATAAAAAGCGGATATCAAAATCTCGATTCGTTCGTGTTCGATCGTGGCGGCTCTGATAATAAATAATCCTCTAACGATCCAACAGTAATTAATCCGTCACGCTGTAAAGAATCTTCGGGATCGTCGAAATGAGAAAGGATTAATTCGCTACCATCCCCGATACGTATTTTAATCTTCGAAATCTCGTAATGCTTGGTCAGACTCTTCCATTTTTACTCGTTACATTTCCTATCTCGAGGTAATACGTCTATCACTTCTACGATTCATCAGTTTAGAATTCCGTTACTGAAACGACAAATCGAGTCTTAGATAAGTTTGAGAATTTTTCAAATACGTAACGCGAAGGCAGACGAATCAGAGCCGTGCGTGTCACATTCAGCGGAATGGTCCAAGGGTGTCCTCTAAGAGGATTTATTCGCGTGCAGAAGATCTGCTAGCGGCTCGAACGACGACACTGAGTCCCACTCGACGAGCATTTAATTTCTCAGCCGCTGGCGCGTCAATAGAAACCGACGCTATTTTTAAAGACGATTCGAGTGGCCGATGAACCGAGTAATCGCCGAGCAAGAGTGCGCCTATAAGCTCGAAGGGTGCCTCCCGATTCGCGGAGGAATCTGTCTCTCGATAATTGATCAAAATCGCGTTCTCAGTCGTTCCATTAATATTATAACAATTATTCACCACAAGACACGATTGCCGTTTTTAATTATAATTAGCCAATTCCATAATCGTCATTAATTATAATTAACAAACGACTGCCGAGTATAGAACGTCTCGTTTGAAGATTGTTACTGTATTATTCAACGCGATTCTTATCTGGTAGAATAACGACGATACCGTGTTTACTTCCCTCGGCCGTTTCTCTTCCTCTCTGACTTTTACTCTTATCCTAGATCTCGTCGTTCGTTCGATCGATGAGAATGGCGAGTGAAAATTCGCCTACGGATGGGGCGAGTGTATGTACAAAACTAGTTCGGCACGGACTACGAGGGTGATAGCGGCTCGAGGGGACACCGAAGGGATGAACAAACACTTGGACCGGTTTAACGAACGAGCGACGAGATCGGTGGGAATTTAATTCTCTTCCTTTGCGATCGCGACGCTACACACAAGACGAGTCAATAATAGTTGCTATACAAAACAACTCGGATCATCAATTTTACTGAAACACAACGTGTGAACTTTGCGTTCGCCGGAGTTGGAGGATCGATTTTCAAAAGTTTCTTTGAGACATTTCGCTCGACAGCTATTATTGACTCAGTCTGTACGTATATTTTATATATGTATATATAGATCTATGTATATATAATTCTGAATCGATGGAGAACAATTTTTCGCTTTCCCGTAATTGGTGTTATACTTTCTCTCTCTCGTAGCTATAATTCGCGAACACACACTCTCTCTCTCTCTCTCTCTCTTCCTTCCCCTTCAACTGTCGTAATAATATTATTTAAGAAATAGAACAAGGATATATTTATTTGTATATATATAATATATATGTATATATATCTATATATATATAATATGTATATCGGCTATCAATAATGTCATCTCTGTCAAACATTCGATAACATTGAACATCACATATACCCTTTTTTATAGTTTTATATAATTCGCTCGCTTTCACCCCCCCGTACTCTCCCGCACCCATTTCCACGGTTGTGTAGGTAAAATTACGTCGAGGAATTGGAACAGCGAAGAATAAGATAACTACATTACGAGGTTGAAAAATTTCTTTCTTCATATCCTAAATTTAAAAATCTCCTCGCTTCTCACGATATTATTTCTCACGGGCTCGAGGGTGAAAGACTACTCTCAATAACGAGAAAGGACTCATCTTCGCCCCTTCTCTCATTCTTACGTCTCTACGTTCGCGAGTGGACAGTTTTATACGGGCAGGCAGACAACATTTTATCAATACTAATTCACACAACACGTGGTATCCCTAACGCGTTATTTCACGTTCACGCATTCTTTCTTGGAAAACGATACGGAGAAAACGAAAAAGAACGAAGCGCAGCTAACAAATACAATTATTCGGCATCCTCGTGTTTACACGCCACACCCACAGCCTCAGAAGTTTACGTTTAATAATACAAAATAATAATAATAATAATAATAATAATAATAATAATAATAATAATAATAATAATAATAGTAAATCGCGCGTGTGTATAATATATAATTCTATATAATTATATCTATCTGTATATATAATATATTCATTCGTGTCTCTCATACTCTCGTGTATTTATAGCGCGACCACGTTACTCCGATATTCATTATTAATAGTTAATTAATAGTCGATCATTTGTAGCGTAATACCGTAACTACTTAATTCTTAGTAGTACTTTTTTATCGGTGGCCGTTAATTCCTCGACGGTACCGCTTTTAAAATATACATATACACGTATATTTATATTTATATTCACGTATGTATATAGTATGTATATATTATATTAATTTAGAATTGTGCAATGAAGGTTTAGAGCCATTAGTGCGACTACTGCTGCGGATGTGGTCGGACAAGTCGCTTCAACAAACGTTTCCCGTGTCTATTTAGTGTACGTACATCGATAACGTGGGGTGCGAAGTGCGATTCTTTTTTTATTTTTATTTTCCTATATTTTTTTTTTTACTGTTTTCCTTCTCCCTTACATCATTCTAAGACAGAGTCACGATGACTCGAACACCACTAACACCTCTATACCCTTCTTGACCTCAGTCTTCCGTTTCCCAATATACACCTGATCATACCACCGTTTCTAGTACAGTATAAAACAATCGACGAAACAAGAAACAACGATTTCGAACGTCCGCTTCTACGCTAAATGCCCTCTACGTCCAGTCTTTCCTTTCAAATACCTTGTCGATCACTGTGTTACGATAAATTCGATAAAAATCCCCGTTCTCAAACCATTCTCTACGTCAACCTCCTCGACCGAAGGTCCTTTCAACCGAAATTACTTTCTCTGTCATCTACCCTTCTTCGTCAACCGTTAAATCACAACGTACCCTAGAGCAATTATAGCTGCCGAATCGTCTTCTACATAGACACCCATCCAAGCGAGTTTACCCTTACACCCCTCTTCCAACTCGGAAGCCGAGTTCTCGTTCAAATCGCGATAATTTCGATTGCAGTCCTTGTTGACACGCGCAAGCAGTCGGACTTCTACGTCGAATACCTTTCTTCTAAAGTTACTTTCAGCTTGATTGAGACACCGAGTTTCTTGTCAGTGCGCGATCCTCGCTGTAGGCAACAGTAGGCAACTAAAATCGGTTTCTACGCGACAGCACTCTCGGTGGAGAGACAGCAGCCTCCTGTACTGGCTGTTATACCCAGGAATCGCCCGCGGAGGCGGCGGTTGAGTTCGGCGGGACGTTAACCGTCGCTGTTGCGGCGGAGCCGTCGGGAACGCCGATACCCACACCGTCGGCGACCCATTGACCGGCGGTTGGCCCACCGCCGGCAACACCCGAGCCGACGACCGGGCCCTGAACCTGCGCCTGGCCCACCCCCAGCTCATACTGCCGCTTCTTTTTCTTCTCCAAGTTAACTTGCGCGTAGAGCGGCTCACCGGGTTTCGGTTGCTGCAACACACACACAAGCCAACGGTTAGTTTACAGCCCTGGCTGCTCTCTTTTCGACGACCCTCTCCATTTTTTAGAGGGTCGTCGTGCCGGGGGTGGGTCGTCGCTCGCGGAAATGGGCCCGGTTTTCTTATTCGTTTTCTTTTTATCTGGCACCCTTCTCTTGATCGGTCTGTTCCTTATCTGCCCCTGGTCAACCCTTTGACTACGTTAATTTTATTAGTAGATGATTGTTAAATAAAGAAGTAAAATTAGATACCTGAAGACATAAGGATGTTAAAAGGGTGAAGGGTAGTAATAAATTCTAAACGATATCTAATGCGTAAATATGAAAAGGTGAAAGAACGATGGGTACTGTCAGATACTCTTTTATTATGCTCGATTAATTTGGATATAAATAGATTATAAATAAGTTTTCGTGCAATAGTCAACGTGTCACTATAAACCATGCTTCTGAGGTGCGTCTAGCTTTTTCTCTCGTACGATAAAACTCGGTTAACGAGTGTACGTGTGCGTGTATGTACGTGTATGTATCTATATATACGTGTTCGTTCGCACAATGGAAAAAAAAAAAGATGTTTTCCTCGCGCTGGTAATTTTTCCCTTTAATGCATCTTCGGCCGATATCGATCTTCTCAGAAGTAGGAAGAAGGAGGATAGAAAATAATCTTTGTGCTTCTGCATGCATTTATATTTTTCCGAGACCATTGGAACGTACGTTTAATCCAAAACCGAACGTTGCACACATGTATATATAGATTACGTTCAATCTGTTTAATATCGTATCGTGTATCGGATTTGGAAAAATCAACTCCCGTCTAAATAGACTTCTGCCGATAATTCTGTTCTGTGGAACGAGCGAGTACACTGTCGCGCTACGTATTTCTACTACGTAATCACTGTCAATTAGGCAACGGACATCAGCCCTTTCTTCGCGAAATCTTCCCATTTTCCATCTCGTGATAAAATTATCGCGATTAATCCATTGCCTTAGGATCCCATTATTTATATTGAAATGTTTTTAAAATTCCTGTAGAAGAATGAATTGTTATTTCATAACTCGGTATCGCGAGGCAAGTGATTAACGCAATTTCGTGTGGGAAATCTCTGACTTCGTCGATTTTGAAACACTTAGCAAGGTTCGAAAGCTGGACGCGCTTCCTAATTGCTGTATAGTGTCGAGTATTTGGTCCTGTAGCAACTAATTCCTTATTACAATCGTGGAGTCATGCGAGACACACTTCAAACTCTAACAACTCGAATTTTCCGTGTACGTAAATGTATTTTCTTCCTATCGTATTCATTACGCTAGACGTAAATAATATAAACGTTCTCCGAACATTACGTGGTTAATAAAAAGAAGACAGATTCACCAATCGGAATAATAATCGATCGTATAAAAGAATCGTTGTTGTCCCGTTTATGTATGTAAAATTCGAATCCGAATAATTCTCCGTTTCGCAATTCGTAGGTGTAAAGTGTCCAAAAAACATGAAGCACGAAATACTCGTTGAAAAAAAAAACCATGTTTGCGGGTGTAACCGGCAATCCGAGAAGGAATTCACGTCGTTTAACGAATCAATGTTGTCAATTTCCGTACTTGTATCCTGTTTCTCAAAACTGTGTTTGGAAACTCAGAGATTCGTTTAATTAATAATTAAAATAGTTTAGTGCGAGAACTTGCTCTACGTCCTAGCAAAAAATGTTTCAGGTAGAAATTATAGCTCCAGTCGTCAAATACAAATATGTTCTATACGATGAGTACTTTGCAATAAACTGTTTTATCGTTTTTTGTCAAATACTCATTAACTCTTCTTATAACTTGTTGAAAGTTTATAGTTTCGGCAGTGGAACGGCCGGATTTTGTCAGTACCAATAAAATGCTGATTAATCATACTTAACTCGTTAAATATCAGAGTAAGAAAAAAAATGCATAGAATCTTTCTTGTAGAGGATGTCAGTGCCTACAACTTCTGTATAAAATACTTTTCGCTAACGTCAATAATTAACTGTACGATAGATATCTCGTTCGTGGCCGCAAGGCGATTAAACGTTTCTTCTGAAATTTGTAAAATATGAGAGAGAGAATTGTCTAATTCTTGTTCAAAGAATTCCATTTAATGATTTAATTAATTTCATAGCGACGTGAATCCTCTCTTCGTTACAATATGATTAAATACGTTTTGTCCGTGTATACGTTCGTGTATCGATTATAATATAAAAATGTTAGATATTTGGTAATTCCGTGGACTGTTTTACGCTCTCTCGCTCTCACTCACTCACTCTACTCTCACACTTTCTCTCTCTCTCTCTCTCTCTCTCTCTCTCTCTCTCTCTCTCTCTCTCTTTCTCCTTTTCTCTCTATGGTAATACTGTGTTAACTCTATACGGATAATGCCGGTTTCACGTGAAACGAAACCGCAATGAATAATACTTGGTACTCGTTAATTGACTTAGTTTATACACCTATGATAAATGCTCGTTAAGTAACTGCTCTCTTTTTGTATCACAACTATGTGAGGTGAGGTGTCTCCGTGTGTCGTATTTTCTATATACCTTTGTTGTCTTTTTGTATGATCGAGCTTTCCGATCTCGTTACAGTCGTTACTTTCTTTCTGTTCGTGCGAGCGAATAAATATCGTATAAATAAAAGCGATTACTTTTCTCGACTAAGTGTGTTCTAGCGTTTCATAGAAAGAAACGCCTTGTCTCTCTTTATTTGTTTTCAAATACACGTACACATATGTATAATATACACAGTTAACAAAAAATGGGGAAAAACAACAAAATCGTTTCGTCTCCGGGCTTAAAAACTAAGTCTAGAAGATTAATAGTATTGCTATTGCTCCTGTATTAAAAAGAAAAATAAAAAAAAAAGGAAGACAGCGAGATTCATACTACAAATAAGTCGATTCTATAATTCTTGTCAAATTTGACCAGATAAATTTTGCGTAATATTTATTCTGCAATGTTTACCGTTCGTATCTTCTAAATAATTATTATTCTCAATTGCTTGAAATCGTACATCGAAGCTAATCACGCAGCAAATAAAGTCCGACTTGAGAAATTTTACTAAGTTGATCGTTATGAGTTTTTTTTTGGACGATTTTATGTTTCCCAATCGTTTCGAGTCATGGTAACTGCGAATCGAACGAGTTAACTTCGAACGGGAACCCGTACAATCCATAATAGACGTTTCATCCGAAACGTACTTTTCATTTTGAATTTTGAATGTGTTCAACTGTACCATTAATTGTTATTACTTACGGGCTGGTATATGGTTGGTCGACCGACGTTATTCGAGTTCATGTTCCCTCTCTGAATCGTTCTATCCTCGTATCTGGTGCTACCCTGGCTCGCCATCGGTCGGTTCAGCGTGCTACAATCATAGCTACGTTCAACGTAGAATCGAGCGATCCCGACAAATGATTACAAAAAAAGGACTCTGCTTCCAAGAACGAAATCAATGAACAAAGTCGAAACGAACGGAGAAAACATATACGTAAGATAGATTAAGCGCAGAGTCCCGAAACGGAAATAATTGAAATAAAAGATCGATTCAAATAATAAATTCAATATAATAATAATTTGATGATCACCAAGTTGCTTAAAATGGTTACCTGTTCGCATTATTGGGAGAATTAGGCCCTGAATTCCGTGCCGCTACCGTTTTCGTTACGAAATCCTGCTCCTTCCAGCCGTGCTTCTTGTATACGTCCCTTAATTCCTGATGCTGCCACATTGTGAACAACACTTGTCCTACGAATGAACGAACGAACGAATTCTCAATTCTTAAAGTTCCACTCTCTCCTCCCGTTCTATTATTTACGGCTGCTATTAGCTTTGGTGATGTTGAAGATGTTCTTACCTGCAAATTTAAGAACACGCGGCGTGTACTTCTGGCGTTGCCTGGTGATGTTCATCAGTCTGTCGACACCGCCTGCGTCCAATAGGGACCGCGAGAATTCTGCATTCTTCTTTATCACTTCGTTCAGAGTGGCTAGAACCGCAGCGATCGTGTCGTCGCTGGTCCCCTGGTCGTGTTGGTTGTTTCCCGAGGGTAACTTTTGAATGAGATCTCGCATCGCGTATTTTCCTATCAACTCTTTGTTGCGTTGATCTATCGCTAGGTTCCTCAGTGCCGTGGCCACCGCACAGACCACGCGATCCACCTGGAATCAAACAAATATTTTGATCGATGAATTTGACTGGTTAATCAAAAAGTATAAAAAAATACGGTACCTCCATCCGCAGCAATTCGACCAAAATCGGAAGTCCTTTCTCCTTTCTGACAGCGGCACGGATTTCGATACTCGGTTGCCAGTAACAGGCAGCGAGATTCTGAAGGGCTCCGGCGGCTGCCTCGAGGGTTTCCGGATTCGAACAAGACTGCAGCAGCTTTAGGTACGACTGTACCACTTCCGGCTGCCAGAGTAACTCCATCCCTCTGACTGGTTCCGTTCTCGGGGTGGTTGTGCGCGACGCAGTCGTTTCCTTCTGTACGGGCTGACCGTCTTTCTTCTTCTTGCTACCCCCGAAGCAACCCAAGTTCTCGCCTAGGACATACCGATAAGAAACTTACATCAACTAACGAAGGAAATTCTTTATTAATATAACGCTACTTCTATTGAAAGACTATAATAACGATCAATGTCTTGATAAAATTGTGAAGTATTTCACAATTTATTTCGCATCATTCGACATCGAGAAGTAAATCTATCAGTCCAGGATTATTGGACTTCGTTAGTATTTACAATGGTTTCTGGTGAACTATTTCCAATAAACTCTGTCGGGCTAAAAAATTAGTCTAATATCTGGAGCAAAATTTAATTACAAATCAGCCAATCGTAAAAACAGCCATATGCAGGATGCGCAACGAAGGATGCATTATTACGGATCGCCCGCTAATTAAATTAATTAAAACGCTTTGGATTAATTATTAACAATGCTACTGAGTATTGTATAATGCATTCAGGTTCTATACTATGACCATTGCGTTTCATCTATTTACAGGTATTTTTGTAATGAAATCTATCTAAATGTAATGGTTCCCCGATTAAAATCGTCGTATCAATATTGAAACGGTAATTATAATCGATTAATTCGAAGTATTTACCGAAGATAGTATGAGCTTGAAATAACGAGAATTATCGGTTGATTAGCCGAATCGACAAAATCACCGAGCAACGTCCATGGAGAGAGGCATGCACTATATATTTTGGAATTACGAAGAAGAAAAAAAGAAAGAGAATTGAATATGTAGAAGAAATTAAATTGGAAGTACAATGATGTCTTACCTTGACATAAACTGTATGCTAAAAAGATTGAAACACATTTTAATTCATGCTAAACTAGGAAGGGTGTAAAACGTTTTTCTTTATCTCACGCTAATTTTTTTATCCTCGTACTATAAAACATACTAGGAAAACTTATGATACAAGGATCGAGAGGAACAATACGAAAATCATAACGCTAAGGGAAAGAAAGAGATCAGTGTATGTACTCGGTTGATTTTTACGGTGCTATGACTAATGAGTTATCGCATCGTTATCGCTAGACTGTGGATTTTTCGTTCGAAGGTTCCGTCCTTCCTTTATGTACATCCTGTCAATTTTCGTGAAGTCATTTTTTCTTTAAATACACAAATCCTCAGTCTAATTATCACGATCGCACCCAATTACGGTTTACCATCAAGGACGTGTAAGCGGTATATCGACTTAAGCATCACAACGAACGGTTCACGAAGTATAATACACAGCTGTGGATTATCGTTCTAGTACAGATTGTAAAAGGTATACGGGGCCAACTACGTTCATGTAATCACTACCCTTTCAAATTTCACACTCTGAATGTTCATCTGAAGCGTGCAAAATCCCCCTGATTCGACATTGCGATCATTACCTAGTGCAGTACTGTCAAACAGATGTAGGTACATTGTTTTTATTCATTAAACGTGAACATATTTCGCAGATCTCAACGATAATCATATAATTCACATCATTCTCTATATTATTGCAATGGAACATGTACATACATCTACGTTTCTTTTAGTCAACGAAGGTGTAGACTGTAAATCTAAACCCTATCCTCCCGTTATCTTATCATCCGGCCGTTTATCATCAAAGCGTTTATTGTTACACACACACACACACACACACACACACACACACACACACACACAATTCGGCCGCATGCGTGGTTCGCCACATGCCCACTGATTGTGAGGAAACCCGCTTAGCTGAAACACTTTTAACGCTAAACTATCATCGCAGCTATCCGAGGAATGTTCTATTTAGTAATTTCTTCCTCTAATTGTCTTTAATTAATTTTACAAGAACTAATTTTGTCAAAATCATTGAATGATACTTTTGTACGATAATATTTAAATCCAAGTGATTTAACGAACGAGTAAAGTGTCTCTGAGTTAGTCGAAAAATTTGGTTGCAGCTAAGTAGATAGAGCATTACAAAAAGAGATTGGTCTCGGTTTCTAAGAAAGTATTATTTTATCTTACCTTTAGCCGGCGCTGCCACCCTGTTCTGAACAGTTGACTGTATCGGGTGCTTATCGTAGTTGGGGTCCTCGACTTCCTGGCAGCGATAGCTCAAGTTTCGCAGAATGCACACGCAGTTCTCCACGATTTTGTTACCGATGTTAGATTTTTCAATAGCGGATCTGACCACGTACAGCAGAGCGTCGACGAGACCGTCGCACTCGCGAAGCTTCTTCCTCGCGTACTCGCCCGCGCTCGAAACGTTTCGCAACACGCCGGAAGCGTTCCTGAACACAGTAGACCAGCAGGTCTCCCCGCTCGACGAGCTCGGATCCCATCCGCTGTGCGGAATTATTATATTGTTCACCACCATCGTCACCCCGTCATCGATTATCGACTTTTTCAAGTCCTAAAACATGAACAGAGTCCCACAGTCGGAAACGTGAAGGAAACATTTTCTATTCTTCAAGAATATAAAACAACGGGACTTGGAATATTTTAATCTTCCTTTGTCAAAACAAGAGTTTCTGTTTTCGTTTAATTGCTATACAACCGTCGCTCACCTCGCACGAGGACAAGTTCCACAGAACTCCAGTGACAAGTTCCTTAACGTCGGCATCCGACGTTCTGCGTAACAAGTTGATCAAGGCCGGTACGCCCCCGGCGTTCTTGATGGCCCTCTTGTTCTCGTCGTTCTGTCTGCCGTAGGACAGGTTTCTCAACGCGCCGCAGGCATTTCTGTAGACGTCCGGGTTGTCGTGATCCAGCAGCTGCACCAGGGGCGGTATCCCGCCCAAGCTTCGCGTCTTCTGCTTGTTCGGGTCGTCCATGTAGCATAAATGCTGAAGATACGCCGCTGCATTCGCTTTGATGATGTTGTTCGGGTTACTTAAGAACCCTATGACCTCGGACAAGTTCGGATCGCGCCATCGCATGGATTTCTGGTCGTCGTCCAACGGGCTGGCCATACCAGGCACCACCGGGTGTCGGGATTGCAAGCGTTGCAGGTGCACCTCGTCCTCGAACATCCCCGGTGGAACGCCGGACGAGAGAGGCACCGGGTGGCCCTCGTCGTAGCCGGGGACGTCGCTGGGGACTGGAACCGGGCCCACGCCGACGGCCGGCCCGTAACCGACTGGTCCGTACGGCGACGGGGACACGAAACCATAGGCCACTTTGTTCTCGTCTGAAATTCGGAAATTCCAATATTGCTTTCTCATCGTTCCTATATACATCGTCCAATAAATTTACATAGTAAATTCGAAAGTAAACCTTTTACCGTTGAATAGATAAACATGTGGGTCGTATTATATGGACTCAGAAGGTTTAGTTAGTAAAGAAAAATATTTAGCTTAATTATAAATGTATCAGCATTCATACATAAATTGATGAAGCTATTTCGTGTGGAATAGTTATTTCAATTAACGCTACGTACGCATAGAAATACACATAATTCACTCGCATTATCTATAGCTGGTACGGTACGGCAGCATGGTCTAAAATAGCGTGGAATATGGAGCAACGCGACCAGGTCGGAGAGACGGTAAACGTAAAATAGATGAAGCTAAACGAGAAAGAGAGAGAGAGAGAGAGAGGGAGGGAACAGACAGAGAGTGGAAAGAGTAAGAAAGGAAGAGAAAAATAGAGAATGTGTTAAATAAATTATTGATGTGACCCTACCATGAGGATGCTGAGAGGGTTCGCCAGAGTCATCCATATTCCAAGAGTTGCTGATTTGATCTAGAGAGAACACAAAATAACAACGAATGTCAGGCATAGGAGATAATTAAAGTGAATTATGCTGTGTGCCCGGTGCGGTGCGGCACTAACAGACAAATAGCCGTTGCAACGTGATAACTGAATATCTTCTTATGGAATTGGCCAGATGAACGTTGCGCGACTCGAAAAAATTGTAATCGTCGAAAAGAAAGAGAAGTGTCGGTGAAAAACGATTAATCGTGAGACGTCTTCCGTTTATTGAACAGAACGTACCATATTGATCTCCAGGACCGCCAGGACTAGGGGTGATACGATAATGATCTTGCAACGCGGGATTCAAACCTGGATCGATGTCGTTGTAACCACCCTCGACGTACGGCGCTGCCTTGCGAAGATATTCTTTAAATAAAACAAATAAAAAGATCTTCGTTGCTGGCTCGATCAAGTGTCCATGTTTAAGTTCGCGTTATCAATGAGCGTAACATTTTCCACGCATGATCAAACGAATAGTGTGTCGCCGAGTGTAATTTTAATCTATTGTATTTTCCCGGTAGTTTTTCCTCTGACAGTGAACAATAACTTGCGTTCCATCGAGGGGACGTAAGATCGTAAAAATAGTTGAGGATGAAGTAGTTACCGTGCGGTGGCGAGGCACGACTGTGCTCCGAAGGACTGTGAGGACTGTGAGGGGAATGCGATCGCGGCATGTAGATGCCATGGGATCCCGGATAACCGGGCTGCGGGGGATACCCGAGGTACGGCTCGTAGTCGAAACCGACCATGTACGACTCCGCCGGATACCGGGCGTCCGCGTGCTGATAGTCCTGCGACATCAACGGGACGGACATGTAGCTGACCGCGCCCGGATCCGGCTCCATGTGTGACACCTCGCGAACGACCTTCGACACGCTCGTCACCTGCGAACATTTTTCATTCCCTCCGTTAAACTTCCTAATAGGAAATCCGCGTTAAATATTTGCATCACCTTCACCCTCTGCAACAGGAAAATACTTCAATGTTTGCTTAGCAAACAGCTTAACTCTATTTTTGTTACAAAACTTTTTTCAAACTGGTATCGTTAGGCTGCGAGTGAGAATACCACTAATAATGAGGATTCTGAGGGTGTCGGTTTAAATTACTGTAAATACTTCAGAACGCTTACTCGGGAATACTGGGAATTCAGAGAATGCTGAAAGCGTTTGGAGAATTCAACCTTGAATTGAAAATTTAACCTTGAATTCGGCAATGGGAATTAAGACCGACATTGGGAATTCAACCTCAAGCTCAATGTTGAGAATTTAACGTTAAACTCGTCGATGGAAATTCGTAGAACGCCGAGGGTTGAGAAGTTTTTCGTATTCCCATGGACGCGCGTTCGGATAGAACGAATTATGGGTAAAGAGGAAACGATTGCAGCGACAGGAGGGAGGGGGGAGGAGAAATTGTATCGTTGGCGAAACTGAAAACGGATCTCACTTGTTGGGTAGTTTGCTGCTTATGGCTCCGGATGAGTAATGGATCCTCCTGGACAGACAAATGAGACGAATGCAACGAATGGGTGTCCGCCTGGCCGTTACTTCCGTGGTAATCCGCATCACTCTGTCCGCTGCAAAACGTCCGCAATAATGATCAATTACGGGCTGTACAATGCTCGCCCCGTCGTGAAACAAAACCGGGAAACGATCCGATTTATTAGGACGCTGCATGAAGCGACGTGTCCTTTTTCTATCCCAAACGGAATTGCAAATTATAAACAAATTGGAAATTACGTGTTTGTTTTGCGACATCGTTATTTCACATGGTGAATTCGTATTAAAAGAAAAAAAAAAGGACGTTTGATGTGTAATTTTAATTTAGTATCTCATATATGTGAAACAGCTTACGTGTATTGCGGCATGTCGGGGCCCTTCTCCTGGAGAACGCGTCTGGAAAAACATAAAAAGCAGAATTATCCAACTGATCGAAAGAGAATCTAGCTATTTATGCATGTCCCATTCTTCATGAACTCTTAGATTTTTGGCGATTTCGCAACCGTAACGATGCGGATAAACCAGTGAATATTGCAACGTAATAAACACATGCATTTGAATCGCAAACGACGAAGTACAAAAGAGCAGGCACAAATGAATATTCCAAAAGCGTACACCAAGCGTCAGTGTACTAATTATATTTGTTCATTCACTGCGAGGACGTTTTTACGTCGCGCTGAATAAATTCGTGCAAGCGTGTGTTAGTGAGGCCGAAGTTACTCATTCTGACAAATTCTTTTCTCTCTTTATTCTCGTACACGATCGATTCATCGTAGAAAAATCCTCGGAGAATGCGAAGCGACGTCTCGCGAGATCGTTCGAAGAGGGGTCCTACACGTCGAGAGAGAGGTTCCTCGAGGAGTGCAAATTGTCCTCGTTTCGCCCCTCGATGCTCCGTGCTGAGCTCCTCGATCGAGGACCTCGCCACGTCGATATTCTTTCTCGATAAAACCTCGGAAGAACTGACTGTTCGAACGTGAACGTAATAACTATTGAGAGCTAACGCGTTCGCTGCCACTACGCCTTTGTTTTCAGGAATCTGGATATTCTAACAATTTTTATTTCTATGGAATTTTAATCGAAAGGTCATACAGACTTGATGACCCTAGCAGTATCACAATGAGTGACCAAATTGAAATAGACAAAATTTTTATAAATGACAAGTGGAGAAAGATGTTAGATAAGCATTAGTGGCAGTGAAACGAGTTAATACCTTAGTATGTTAAGTACTTGTTCAGAATGACTAACGACAGCGATTAGATGCGATGTTAGTCACCTCTGCGTGATCTCAGTGTGCGTAATGCTGTGCTCCTGCCTCTGCTCGATCCGACGATTCACCAGCCTGGCATTGCAACACAATTCGATTGTTATTAATGATAATAATGAGAGTGGTGCCTACGGTGCTTCCTAGAGTGCAGCTTCGGTAGCTAAACAGATGTTGTAACTGTCTTTTTCATTGATCGTTCATCGTTCTCGGGTCCGCAAAGTTCCCTGTTTTTATTTTTTTATTTTTTATTATCGAGTCGGGAAAAATGGGCCGAACAGCTACGTACAGGTATTACAGTCAGTCGGACAGTAAGAACGAACAGACAGGAGAGGCTCGTTTTACTTCCTTCAAGCCGTTACCGCGAAACGAGTTTTGCCAATTAGCCGAGTTACGTTTTGCGATAGCACAGCGAAATAGCAGAAGAACATAGTTCTCTTTACGAGATAGCCGGTTTTCTTTCAATTGGGACGGAGAGAGAAAAAGAGATAGTAAATGTAGGTATGTATTAATTAGTTACACGTTACGAGTTACTCTCGAGGAGTTCGAGAAGAGAAAGACACTTACAGACAGGAGTCAACCAGCTGATTATTTGACATACCAGCTGATTTTTCGTCTATTGGCGCTCAGCTGTAGATCACGTCCCCTGTAACAGAGAACAAACAAATTTAGAAGTCGAATTAGAAAATAATAACACGCTACCGTAGATTAAAATTCGATTAGTGACGAGCGTGATAATCAGTACATCAGCACGAGACTTAACACTTCTTACTCACAAAGGACAGTTTAGAAGTTTACTCATCGCAGCACCGAAAGCGTTCCACGACTTCAATCGAACGTAATCGATTCGTTTACAAAGGGATAATCGAACGCCCCTTTTCTTCTCTAGTTACGAAATAGCTACGGGAGTTCGTTAATCGAAGACACGAGAGGACGTAAACTTTAATGCGTCCGGCATGCCCTGATTGTACCAATTTGGCACACGCGTCTCCAGAGAGCTTTTCACTTAATAATACACGAGTGCATTTACCTCAACCCTCGCGACATTATTCTCAGCAAAATGTTGATTCTTACGCCAATTAAATGTAAATTAATTTTTGATTATTACGAATATTTCGTGATTGCCTACTCGCCTCTTACAATTCCGTTTCGTAATCAGTTTGATTAACCCTTCTACCTTTTAATTTATATTTCATCCCTCGCGCGCCGACCGTTTTTTCGGCACCCGCGAGGCGTTAATTGAATTTTATCACTTTCACACCGCGCTGCGATCTCGTAATCACGACATTAAAATATAAAATGAGCAGAAAGGTTTTAATTAATTACTCGCCTCGTCGCGCCTTTAACGCGCGTTTCGATTTCACGCATTCGCTTCAGATGGTATTAACACGTTGTTCCTTTAACGAGACGGTAGCAGAACGAACGAGTCAGTAGATATTTATTACAAATGCAAGCACTGCACATAATGAATATTCCAGTTTAATAAAAAGCTTAACGAGTGCTGTTATACTCGTTGGCGCACGATTCTATTAAGGGTTATTAATTTGCGAACGGTGTCGCTAACTTGCCAACAATTATGAAAAAGACCACAGTTAAATAACTGGTCGCCGTCGACGGGGAGCAAGTTTGGCCCACTTTCCTCGAAAACTATCCGCGAACAGTCTCGAACAGCTGCTTCTCAAACCTCCAGAGTAGAGAGGAGTAGTTCCGTAAGGAGGGAGAAGAGGGAAGAGTGGATCTCGTCGATTCTCCTAGAATTATTAAGGTATTACGAGCGCGGGGCGGTCGAACTCAGACTGCAAGATAAAAAGTTACCAACGGCAAACACCGCACGCTCCTCGTGCAACGGTACAGTTTTACCCGGAGAACGAGATGGAAAAAGGGACAAGGGAATCTGTTTTAACTTCCGTTTCCCTTATTATACGCTTTCGACCTGGATTCTGCGCTCGGCGAGATCGATGCAACGTCGCACCGTTCCCGGTGTCGGTGCTCCTAATCGACGTTAACGCAATTATTAACTCGAAAAAAAGAAGCTACGCGCGTAGGAGTTTCTTGTACACGATTCTTTTACGCAATCGTTCGTTCCTAACCAGCCGTGAGCTCGCTCTTGTTTCAAGCCTCTCGTATCTCCAACAACGAACTCATTGAATTAAAAATTCGGCGAATAATCGCGTACTCTATCGAGCCACTTGAATCTCCACTCCCACGGTGCTCGGAACACTTTTTTCTTAAAACGCAGTCCAAGTACGGAGGTGCGTCCATTTTCCCATAAGACCGAAACGACCGCAAAAGAGAGATGGTGTATAAGAAGAACAGACGCGTTTCAAGCGTTCTTAGCTCGTAAAATCCTGGGGCTGGCGGTGCATCTTAACCCGTCTATTCCACGCGAGATGCATTTCCCACAGGATCTTCGGATATCATCCATCGAGCGAGGCGCGCCCGACAGGAGTAATTAAGACGCGAACCCGGCTAATTGCCGCGCTGGTTAACGAACTACGCGATTTCCAGCCGTCGAGGAAACCTTCTTCTTTCTCTGTCACCTCTTTTTTTCTATCACCATCGGTTTATCTCTCGCGACCCGTCACAGTTATTTACACCCACGCGACATTGCTCGATCTCCGTGCGCGCGTTTAGAAGAGGTACAGTCATCCTCGATTAACGCTGCAATTAAGACCTTCCCCCCTTTCCTGTTTATCTCGTATACTCTCCGTCTCCTACGGAGTTTCGCTCGTACTTTTCCACAAGATTTTTTGAAAGTTTCCCTTTTTCTTTCGCTTCTAAGTATGTGCTCGAAACATTCTAAGTAGTTTTTCGAATCCTGGCTTAAGAACTTATTGGAGAATGAAGAAGCGCTAATTGGGACGGGTTAAGTGGGGCAAAGATGAAGAGTGCCGTGGGATAAAATGATATTTTCGAAATTTACAGTGTTCTTGGTTATCTGAAACGTTCCAGGAATGTCTTTTATAGTTGCGAGAGGCATACGTAGGTATAAAACCACCCTTCCGGCCTCCGCCCACGTTGGTTTTCGCTGTTGCAAATTGTGTATTCAAAGCAGGAATGTTAAACACGTGCCCTGGAACGTAACCCTTTCATCTATAACCCCGATCGCGCGGAAATCTCATTGTCGCTATCGTAATCGTCGAATTTTTCTCAATTGACGATACGGTAGGTACGTGTCTCGCCTTTATGCTGGATTCATACGGAACGCGTGAGGAAAATTTTCAGCAGCTACTAGCAAATAATAAATACGACTAAACAAAATATGCAGAAACGTTCCTCTCTCTACTTTGCATTTAATTCACCTCTGTCCTCTGTGCCAATTAGACGCATGTGTCAAAAAAGCTTTCCGTTTAATGACATACAACTAGATTTACATTTCATTTAGGAAAATTTTGTATACGCAGAAATTCTATTTGAAGGAAGGATGCGCGAGAAATTAATTTATTAAAATGGTATACATTACTAAAATACTGGAGGTAAATTTTTGTAATTAGTACATATGATATTTTGAGTGAACGCACGGAATCCACGCAGTGTGATAAATTTAACCGATACGAAGCGTCAAAATTTTCGAAATTCAGCAGCAAGTTGGCCGGCGCACCGTCACGGCTCGCCGATATAGGTACGTAGCATAATCGAAGTTTCGAAAATTCCTCGGTTCCTGCGACTCCCGGCCACAGAATCCCGTACTCGCAAAACAGTCTCTCCTCGAGGGAAGTTTCGCGCGAACGAGCCATAGATCAACGTCGCTCGAAATCGCCCGGCATTACCTCTTTTTTACCTATCAGTTATGATATCGAATGAATCTGGCGCAGAGTTTGGACAGTTTTAACGATATTTTACATACCAGTTTGCAAAACGGGAGACGTTATTAAAGTGTACGTATCATATAACAGTAAAACCAATTAAAAAGTTTTTAATAATTTATAGTTGTGGCACGCGGCGAGCACGTGAAATGCCCGAAGGCTATTACACCTTTATTTGCGTACGTAATAATTCTTGCATAACGTGTAATTTGTATTTACATAATAATTTTAACTCGACACAATTTCAAGTTTAATTTATAAGTTCGTCAAATTGTGGTTCGTTTCCACGGCTGTGGAATCTAAGAATGTTTTTCGGGCAGCTGCAATGAGAGTTTCAGCAATGTGAAATGTAGGGCAACGTCGCCCAGGGCCTCTCGCCCTGTAATAGTGTCTGGCGTATTAGATTTTTTACACGTCAGAACAAATTCCACACAGGTGGACAGGGACTATTTAAAAAAGAAAACCGGGATGAGCGTCCCACAGGCGACGTGTCTCATGGCTGCCCTACAATCCGCTTCTCTTGGCTAGCAATTTTCTTAAGAATAACCGTGTTCTCTCATTTTTTTTACAACTGTTCTATGAACATATTCTTACCACATGCATTAAATTAATTTAATAATGTATTGCATTGCTCGTTTCATGAGAGGAAAGGAGCACGTATTTCGAAATAACTGTTTCTTTTCTCGTGTAGCTTTTTCGGAGTTGTTTAAGAGGATTTTGGGTGTGTCCACGAGATTTAATTCTGCCGGTGGTCCTTCGAGTCGGAGTGTGCCGTAATTAGTTTCCGTTTAATCTTACATGAGAACCCGCGCGTGCGGAAAGTTAAAATCCACGATTACGTTTCCCGCTCGTAATTTTTTCAATCAAATTACACAGAATACCCGTTTCAATTTTTTACAACGTCTCATTTCCTTTCGAATCATCCGTTTATCGATCCGCCGCGTTTCGCTCGCGTGGCGAAAATTAATAAAGAAAAAAAAATTGCCCGCGGTGCAAACACGTAATTCGCTTAATAAGAATAATCCCGTTTACCTTTCGGAACGGCGCGTTTTAATTGGCTCGCGCGCCATGCCGCCGGTTTAACAGCACAGACAACGTGACGAGGTAACAACGGTATCAGGCGAGCAATTAGTGGATTCTAGCCAGTGTCCTGAAGCGGTTTTAGGCGAATTCGCTTCCCCTTTTTCGGAAGCCTCTCCGTTATCGCCGGTCGTCACCCTCCGTGAACTGCGGAACGCCGTAGACCGTGGAACTTCTAAACGCGGCAATTACATAATACAGCGGAGGAATTCTTACCCGGGAATTTTTCGAAGAACTCAAACGAGAAATGTACAGCTGCGAGCATATTCTTGTGCGAAGCGGTACCGTTTCATAAAAATTGTATGCGATTTCATGATGTTCTATAAATAAAATATTGTGTAAAATGCTCGGAGAAAGCGGTCACAAAAATGAAACAAACTCGGGCCAGCACCGAGCCAACATTTAAACACTTTTTATCTCCGAGCGCCGGATCCACCACTCGCTCGGAAGATTAAACAATTAACCACACTCTTGACCCAAATTCACCCTCCGCCGGGTTCCAATCTCATTTTTCCGAGTGCAAGAACCGGAATGCCGGTCGAATCGAAGGGATTCATCCCCGAAAGGACTACGTCCGCAGTGGCAGCTAGTAATTAACTGGAATTTCTCGCTCGGCGCTATCCCATCCTTCAGGGTTCCAAGCTCTTTCAGTTAGAGTCTTATGGCTTATAGCCTGATCGGCTCGTAAAATCTAAAAGTGATAATAGAATTGTCGAGGAATTTTTCGTATCTCAATAGACATTTTTTATTTTCCCACAAG